ACGCCTATTGACTAACCCCATTCAATTTGCATTCAGATAGAATTCACCTTAAATCAAAGTGGATGCTAGATGTAGGGGTATTCATATATGAATAGCCCCACACAGGTGGATATAATGAGGGTCCGGCCCCCTGGAGCTGGACTGTCCACACACCTTCCGCTGCTGCTGTGGACTCCACACTCCCTTCCTATTGCTCCAGAGCACCCAGTCAGCAAGCCACTCTTCATTCCGGCAGCGAGGCTCGTCGTCCCACCTCCTGCAAGGAGAGGCTAGTTGACCGCGAGCTCTGGAGCGATTGGAAGAGACCGCGGGACCCACAGTAGCAGCAGAAAGGTGAATGGATAGTCTGGCCCCAGGGGGCCAGACCCTCATTATGTCCACCTGTGCAGGGGTACTAATATTCGTATATGAATACCCCCAATTCTAATTATACCCACAGATTAGTAGAAACTTTCCAAGACATTTGTTCCTCCCAGATAGGTCCTTGGAGCTATATATATATCTAAAAACAGCTGACTGTGGGGGTCATACCACTGTGTGAAGTTGTTACATGCTCATTTTACTAAGGCATATATTCAATGCAGTGGCTGAAACCCTGTTGCACAGTTTCACCTGCACACTGCCACTGACATCATTTATGTTGTGCAGGTGGATCTTGCCCAACAGGATTTTAGACAGTTTATATGGTTTGTGTTTATAAAGAACTACAAGATTGGTATACTACTGTGGAACAGTTTACAGCTAAGTTTTCAGCCTTTAATAAGTTTAATTAAATATTTAATTAGATTAGTTTAATCAAATGATAAAAGAAGGAAGGACGAAGCAAAGTCTGTGGTGCTGAAATGGCTTCCCCCAGTTTGGTATTCAGACTTGCATTGCATTTGCAAAAGTTATAATTGTGGAATTGTAGAGGAAATATTACCCTGTAAATTCTGTATTGTGTTATTCAGTATGCTTACTCATCCCTAGTTCATCAAGTATCAGCAAGACTGGAAATGTACAGCGGTACCTCGTTGCCTTAGTTTATGTAATTTTCGGTTTACAAACCAAAATCCATAGAAAATAATGCCCGGTTTATATTCTATCCCCCCCCCTGCTGTACAAAAGGGTTTCCCCCAGGACACATTGCACCTGGGTGTTTCTAGCGCTGCCCCTGTTCCTAGCTCAATCTGTGTATCAGTTTATGAAATTTCCACATGATGTAACGTCCGAGAGGACGCATTAATTTCGTAAACCGAGGTATGCCTGTACTAATTTATTCTGATAAGTCCACTACCCACATCTTTTTATAAATCAAAGCAAATAGTCTCTGGGCTCTTTAAATAATCATTGTGTGTCATCAGTTCTGACTTATGACCATTTCTAGGGTTCTCTAGGTAAAGTACTCAAGTGGTTTTACTTCCCATAAAGTAGGAGCTAAGATTCTGCTCAGTTGCAGAATACACCAGATTCAACAATGCCATTCAAATTTTGAAAGATCAGTCTCCCCAAATAGTATCTGTTAGCTGCAGAGTGTAGAGCTCCAGAATCAAATGGGAAATATATTCCAAAGTTGAATACAGGCTAGTAATAGATGAAACAGTTTTGGGGGGTGGGGGAGGAAGTTACACATATTTCCACTTCTCCCAATATGCCATTTGAAACATGGGGCTCCTTCAGCTTGAGAATAGGTCCAACCATAGAAAGTAAATTCTCTTGCATGTGTATTACAACATCTATCCTTTTTATGTCCTATATAATAAATTTCCATCTAGTAGTTTCAGTTTTATATTAATTTATGTATGTTTATAAATTAATGAGTACATCAAATGATAATTGTGTGACTGAGTCATCCATGATATAGCTCCATATATTTAGTTTTCAGTGTTTATAGTTTAACCTCCAGCAATTTTTTAAACATTTAGTCCACATCTTAACTGCTAGTTATAAATGAGAATTATGGAAAAATCAAATGATATGCTTGCATATGTCTTATCTCATACATTAAAAATAAAAGATTGGTGGGACCTTAAAGACCAAGGAACTTATTTCTGTCCACTTGGATTGTAATCCACAAAAGCTTGCACTGCAATAAATCCCTCCCTTGAGGTGCCACAATTCTTTTATTTTAATGTAACTGCTGTGTTTTATCTTGCAATGTTTTATCTTGCCTGGGGGTACACCTGGACCCGATGCTCACCATGGAAACGCAGGTGGCATCGGTAGTCCGCACCACCTTTTTCCACTTTTGGTGGATTGCCCGGCTGTGACCTTACCTAGACACGGGGGCGCTCACTACCTTAGTACTTGCGCTCGTAATTTCTAGATTAGCCTACTGTAACACGCTCTACGTGGGGCTTCCTTTGAAGCTGATGCGGAAACTTCAAGTGGTACAGAATGCGGCGGCCAGACTCCTTACTGGAGTGAGAAAATACCAACATATCTCTCCTACTCTGGCCATGCTGCACTGACTGCCCATCCATTTCCACATTGAATTCAAAGTTCTAATGCTTACCTATAAGGCCCTAAACGGTTTAGGACCTCGATACTTGGCGGAGCGTCTGCTCCCACCAAGATCTACTCAGATCACCCGCACGAGTCAGGAGGTGAGGCTGAGGAGCCTGACGCCGAGGGAGGCCCGGAAAGAAAGAACTAGAAACCGGGCTTTCTTGGCGGTGGCTCCTCGTCTCTGGAATAACCTACCTCCGGAGATTCGCGCTGCACCCTCGCTGGGTACTTTTAAGAACCAACTAAAAACATGGATGTATAGGCAGGCCTTCCCTTCCAGTTAATTCCTGTCCTCTTTCCTTTTTTCCCCCTCTTTATTTGATTTATTTTTATTTTTCCCATCTTATAGAATCATTTAATTAATTAATTGTTATAAATTTTTTTAGAACTTGTTATCCTTATGTTGTAAGCCGCCTAGAGTGGTCGAAATGACTAGATAGGCGGGGTATAAATAAATAAATAAATACTTGCATTATCTTGTGATGTTAATTCTAGTGTTCAGAATTAAATAGCAAGTTTATTCCTCAGACTATTTCTAGCTGAAATCCAATTACTGTTGCACTTGCTAAATTTAATATTTCTGTTCCTGGTAGCTTAATGCTTGAATAACCATTTTGTTCAAAAATCTTGTTTTGTAGACACTTTATTGCCTGATGATTATGTAGTTCCCCTTGATTGGGCAACTTCAAAACATATCTATTTACACTGGAAGACATCTGTGGAGGTATGAAAGTTATTTCCTTATTTGCCTTATTGTGCAGATTGTACTGAATATTTACGTATATTAGAATAGTTGCTCTGCAAGTGCTGGACACAATGGACATTTAGGGAAAGGAACATGTAGTGCTTGTTCCTTGTGATGGGAACAGACTTAGTTTCTTGAAAGACACCATCCAGGAAAAAAAGGTGGTTCTGTTTTCTTATGGGGAAATAGATACCATTTCTTTTGATTTTATTTCAGAAGAAACATAAAAACAATATATCCAAGGAAGATTGTGCCTTGTCTGGTGAGTATAGTCTTTTGTGTCTTAAATGAAGGATACAAATGAACTAATTAGGTGATATATCACTTGCAACAAAATATTTTGTGTGTTTTTTTGGAATGTGTTATGAGTTTGAATATTTGTCTGGATTTAAATTTAGTGGGCTAAGTGAAATATAAAGGGAGTATTCAACTTCACCAACTTTTTCAATATGGATTAAGATGCAAAAACCCTTTCTGGCTTGTTCTGCCCAGAACAGAAGTGGAACACCTTGGGAAATGCCATTATCAACCTCTAGGTTACAGTCAGTCATTTATAATCAGTACACAATTTATTGAAAGGTTATTAATAACAATGTTGGGGAGGGAGGGATGTTTCACGTATGTCACAAGAACGTAGTGCAAAATTACTTTACCTCTTAGTATCTGCTGCATAACGCAAGTAGAGGTTGTGTCTATATATCTATAGAAAGCTTCAAACCAGCCAGGAGAAACATTTTTGCAATCCATGGTACAGTACAGTATAGGTAATATTCACTGAGTTCAGTGGGACTTTATGTAACTAAATTTGTATATTTGCCTCTTTATAATAGTTTAAGATATTGGTGAAAACAGTTTCTTTTAAAGAGACTAGAGAGGGCAAATATTGCCACATTGTACAATCTGCCAGGATTGCATGTAGCAACGTGCAGATAACGGAAGGTGGGAACCAGCCATAGCCGCTTTTGGAGGAGGTGGACTCTTGCTCTCACATAAAGGTAAGTCCATGTAGGACTCTATATTAGGTTGCTTAAATTATTAACTCTATTTCCTTATAGCTGGTGTTACTACCCTAGAAGATTCCAATAAAGGGGGTCAAGAGAGCTGAGAATCTTATGAAGTAAATCTACAAAAACTCTTGGAAGAAACACCATTGCTGCGACAAACTGTTTTAGATAGATAATACAAGTAACAGTCTAGCCTGAATGTTTGTCTAAAAATAAACATCAACACTTTGTTCTGAAAAGTAACAATTCTAAATGTGAAACTTGTTTTTTCTTGTTTTGGTTGTCTCATTAAATCCATACATTAAGTCCATATGCATTATTTCTGCATATGAAGAGCCACTTATAAGACTTAGTATGCTGCTGCTGCTTTTCTCTCTCTTTTCACTCCCCCCCCCCGGTGACTGCTGAGAAAATGGAATGAAAAACAGCATGTGAAGACCCAAACACATCACCTATTATCTGTTTAGTATGCGACTAAACACACACACACACACATGCCAGCTGAACCTAAGAGGAGCTGACACTCTGGTCTATCTCTCCCCCAACAAGCCAAAGGAATATACCATTGATTTTCTGGGGTTATTTCTCTGGTGTATTGAAGGAGAAGCAAGACAGAGAGGTGACTCTTGCTGGGTTTGCACATCACAGAGCAACATGGACTGTTCCTTCTTGCAGCTTCTTGTACATAGAATCCCTGCTTGCTGTGATGTTCAGACACATGAACAGTCTTGAGGAAAATGCTTTGGCATCACATTATACGGTTAAATTTTATTTGTCTCCTTTGTTCTCTTTCTTTCTCTATGCACTCAAGTTTTATCATCTTTCCCTTTACAAGAGGATTGAGTCACTATGGCTATTGTTGTTTGACTGGAACTCTTAGCAACTCTAGCCATCATAATTAGTGGTGAAGGCCCTTCAGATTCTAGCCCAACAAGATCAGCACGTTGTTCTTGTTTACTTCAAGTACTTTCTTGGAGTCAATATGCTCTGAATCCTTTGGTTTATATCTCTCGTCCCAATGCTATGCAGTAGCTATATCTGCAGAATGCTCCTGACTGTTCTGTTCACCCGCCATCACTTCCTTCCCACTCTTTTACTGGCCTAAATCCTGTTGTTTAGTGCAGTGGTTCTAACCTTGGGTTACTCAGGTGTTGTTGGACTGCAACTCCCAGCAGCCTTCGCCACCAGCTGTGCTGGCTGGGGTTTCTGGGAGTTGCAGTTCAAAAACACCTGAGTAATCCAAGGTTAAGAACAACTGGTTTAGTGTACTAAATTGCACTAAAGTAGGCCCATGGAGTGAACTTTAGTGAGTGAACTCCTCTGTAAGCAGAGTAAGCCATTATTCGCTTATGCCCATTTGAATCAGTGGAATTTACAGAAGAGTTGACTCCCTAAGCCCCCATTGGTTCCATGGATCTACCCTAGAGCAATTTACTACACTAAGCAACAGGATTTTGGCCACTGTTGTCTGTTTTGAATGTTAGGTTGTAAACTCTGTCCTCTTATATTCTGTAAAGCATCCAACATACTGCTAGTATTCTTTTGCACTCTCTCTCATATAAATAAACAATGAATTAAGAAATGTGTTCAGTTCAGAAGGACAAAAAATGCATGGAGAAAAATGTTTAGCAGTTGACAAACTAAATACAACAATTATTTCCCATTCAAAAGACAGAATATTTAAAAGATCCATGAAGAGTGGCCAATTGTAACTAATGAGATACAGTACACATTACATACACATTACATTCTAAGACAACTGCACATTATGAAGTTTTAATTTACATCAATAGGCATAATATTTTGTTTGGATGATTCAATAGGTTTGTTCTCTTTTGCATTACAGAATTTGTTGGCTTCACCATGGGTCCTACCCAGTTTGTCTGTCTGTCTGTCTGTCTGTCTGTCTGTCTGTTTACTTACTTACTTACTTACTTACTTACTTACTTCCTTACTTACTTACTTACTTATATACTGCCCATCTGGCAGCCAAGACTTACTTACTACTTACTTACTTACTTATATACTGCCCATCTGGCAGCCAAGGGCACTCTGGATGGTTTACAACAACTAGACAGAAACAATAAAATAACAATATAAGATGATATCAAAAAATTAAAAGTGCAAACCAAAATAGCATAAATGCAGTGAAAGACATGGTGAGATACACTACATTAATATAATTTATTAGCATAAAAACAGCCAGGTATAATAAAAAACTAATGACATTGAGGAGAAATGCAATTTATAAAGGTTATTGAATCCGTTACATATAAGGATGTTGCTGCTTCCCATCCATGTAGCATGTGCCTTTTTGTTTCAAAATAAAATGAAACTTTGAACAGTGTTTATTGATTGTCATTTTGAGAAGCAATTTAAACTGTTGACTGCCTGTTGTTTATATCAGACAAAGAAATAATTGGTCCACTGTGAATATGAAGAGTGGCAAATTCAAACTCAAACAACAGCAGCCAAAAAGAAACAAGAAAATGATTAATGATCACATTCAAGTAGGACTTTGCTAACTAATCTATTTTCAGTTGAAAAGAAAATCAGTTTAGTTTCTAATAAATGTGCACAGGACTGCAGCCTTACAGGTAAACTACTGTATATGCCACAAGTCCAATTTGGCATGCCCCAAGAGTTAAGAGTCACTTAAGTCTTCTGGAGTGGCCATTTTCCTACTGAAAATTCACATACACATACCAATTGATTTGCACAGGGATGCCAACTGAGAGAGCGAGCTATGTTGGTCAGCAGTCTTATGACGCTTTTCATTGACTAGAATATATCTCATAACATACATGGAATGTTATTGCCAGTTGCCATGAATGCAAAAGAAAAATGGAAACAGTGAGGTCAGGTAGGAATGGAAGGTAAAGTATTCATAATATGTTAAAGCTCAGAGAGGTGCACATCAAGCACAGTGAACATTTTACTACAAGAGTGACTGGCAGTAAAATATTCATCCTAGCATTGCTAAGTTAATTTAATGGCATGATCCAGCAGGGCTTTTCTTACATTCTTATAGTGTCAATAATTGTCCAGTGGTAAACAGATGACTTTGCAAATACTGTATACAACAGATTCAATATATAATTATTACCACAGTGTTCAGCCATTGTTTCATTGTGTTTTCCTCCCCTAATCTTAAGAACATGTTTCAGGTCTCCTACACCCCAGTAAATTAGGTCTGCAATGCCTGCCTCTAAAATGTGTCTTCTGGTGGTCTGCTCCTTGACCTGGGGACAAAAATCCAATGTCAGCATAACTTGGGCTGCAATTGCATATGCTTGGAAATGGTTTCCAGAGAAGCCATCCTAGTGTTTAGTCTCAGTATGCTGACAAAATTAAAAGGGTTGGCGAGGCAAAGGGCCAGAGGAAGAACAGACAAAATGCTGTGGCAGTTTACAAGTTGATAGATTTATAATAGATTCATTTAAGTGTGAAAGCTCACAAATAAAAACCCACTTCCATTCTGTCTTTTTGCAGGCGCACGCACGCACACACACACATCCCAGTTTGTCAACATGCCATGAAATGTTCACATTTGGGAACATCTTGTGCTGAATAGATGAAGCTTACTTTGTGTAAACACACTTATGTTGGTGCCCCAAAGACTGCCCTGGCCAAGCATCACAAAAGTGGTGGGCAGTAGCTGTCTATTAAGAATATTGCTTGCTTCCTCTGACCGCTTTCGTAGGGTGGCCATATGAAATGGAGGGCACACCTCCTTTAGGTGTTGTGTACAGCATGAGACATTTCAGGGGTTGTCTGTCCTGCAAGCGGGCTTATCTTCTCCTGTGAAGGACAGCAGCTGCTGCCGCCGCCCAGAGTGCCAACCCTTCCGTCTAGATACACTCCAGCGGACGTTGCTCAAGGCTACCATTCTCTCTGGCAAGCAAATCTCCACTGCAAACAACGAAACTGTGAACAACACCCCCCACGGGACAGCCGCCGTGTGTCGCGTAGTCGCTGTGGCAGTTTTGCTCAGAGGAAGTCAGGAAGGGAGAACGGGGGTGGGGTATGCCAGAGCCGGGGGGCGAAATGTATCAGTGGTCTCATTTGATACACACACGTGTAATTTTCAAAATTCTGGAAAGTGTTCTTCAGCAGCCATTCTCAACAGGGGTCGTATGGGAAGCCCTGGCACATTTAAAAGGGGTGGGGGCACAGAGTGCAAACAATTCTTTACACACCACCTTACAAATTTTGTTATGCAACTTATACAATCCTAACTTGGCCTATATTTCTTTCATATTGTGTTTATTAAGGGGGCCAAAGGGGAGAAAAAGGTTGAGAATGGCTGTTCTAAAAGATTCTTTATGTACGCGAATGCTGCTGAGTAGAACCTAAACAGAGGAGTGCTGCTGCCTTTAAAGGGGGAGATCCTGCTCTCATATTGTGCTGCACACCAGGGGCGGCCCTTGTGGTGGTTGTCGCTCTCCCGCCATGGAGGCCAGCTTGGTCCGCGCCTTCGGAGGCCTGAGCCTCCAGCCACCCGAAGCCCAAAGCCGAGGGCGCGGCCGCAGGCACCGCTTCAGCAAAAGCCTCTATTTGCTCCGTGGGTTGCCGGGCTCCGGGAAAAGTACCTTGGCCAGGTAAACAGCCGCCTGCCACCGACGGGAGGCGAGGGAGCGAGGGACCCCTGTCTTCTCCTCTCCTCTCGAGGGGCGTGTTCGCCGGGACGGAAACCTTTAACTGCGGCTGAGAGACCGGGCTTGGAAACCGCACTTCGGTAGCCTGGACGGGGTTTTCGCATTTTGCTAGGAGGCGGGCGCTGCCTAGCGGCGAGGCGGGGAGGGCAGATCAGCGGCGCGCTGGCGCTGGGACTGTTTATTCGCCGACGGCTCCCGAGGCTCTTTATTGATCGACGGAGGGTCCCTGCACGCACACACCACACATACGCACATGCACACACAAAAGTGCTGGGGAGGAAAAAGTTCTGTCTAAAATGGCCTTCTTGCACCCTCTTATTATAAAGGACAAGGAGGGAGGTTTCAGTTTCTTTCTGCTAGCGTTCCTGTGCTTTCAACTGATCGACTATTAAATGGTTGCGTTTCTAGATCATTGTCTTGAAGGAAAGCATCCTTAAAACTGTTGACTTGCTAGCCGTCGGGAACGTAAAGAAACGGGGGTATTTCTCGGGGCGGTGAAGACAGAACCTGGGAGCAGACGAGAAGTGAATTGGGAAGGTAGGGAAAGTGGGCGCTTTGAGGCGCTGTCGGGGCACTCCGGCTAGCGCGTTGCAGAAAAAAACAGACTCTTGTTTTTGAAGTTACCATTGTTATCCCGTGCCGTCCGTGGCTGTCGTTTTAGAAGAGGTAGCCCTCTTAGTCTGTGCTAACATGTCAAGCAAAACCAAAATAAAAAAATAAAAATAAAGACAAAAATGTTGTGGCATCTTAAAGACTAAGTGCTTTTATTTTAATGTGAGTTTCGTGGACAAGGCCAGTTCTTCAGTTTTTGCTGGACCTGGTTGTCTACAAACTCGTTTATTTTCTCAGCAGCGAAAGTAGGGTCTCTCTTCCCTCCCTCCCCCCAAAAATATTCTGTCTTGCTACCACCACCACCACATCTTCTCAGTTTCATCCCTGTTACTGCCATTATAGGGCCAATAGCTGATAGGTTACATTTGCAGAATAGTTCTTCATAAGCCTCTGCTTAGCTTGCTGAACAGCTCAATGGGCTGGAGGCCCCCAAGTGTTCAATTCCCCACTTCCCTGTAGAAGAGGCACCAGTCTGTGTGGTGTGGGCAAGCTAGAGGGTGCAAAGTGTGGCCAGAAGAACAGAACATAAAACCCACGTTGGAGTACTCTATACCTAGTAAACTGTGGAAAGGGAATCAGCTTGACCACACATAATTATTATTTAAACCTACAAGTGTATTTTCCTGCCATTTGGCGGTCAAATGAAAAATGCCCATCAAAATTTCCTGCTTCTGAAGTGTTGCTTTAGTTTATTCTGCTCCATCACAGCATAAACAGATGTGAACTAATCAGAATTATCTGGAAAAGAGGGTGCAATGAAAGTAAGAAATTGTTTGATTTTGGTTCTGGATGTTGTTCTCCGTTATCAGGGTGGGAAATGGAAAGAGCTGGTCTGGTCATGTTCAAGAAGAAAAGTAGTCTTCTCTTTTATATTTGCTGTGTTCCCTTTTTTAATTTCAAGCTGCCCACATTTTACATTCAGCAGTTTGAGTGAGCTGCCTTTCGGTCCTTTTAAAGAGAAAGGCAAGGTAAAGATATTTTAAATAAAATAAAATTATCTCATTTATTTATTTGTTTGTTTGTTTACATTTCTACCCAAGTAAATGAGCATGTGCCACCCATAAACTACTAGAAGCAATTTGCTAATTTTTAATGCCAGGGCTCCACTGTTTGTGATACAGCAGGACAGGCACAAATCAAGCAGAAAGAGGAAGGAGATGTAACTCCTGTATCTGCTTTGCAAATTGTGGATACAGAGCTTCATGGAGTCTCAGAGCCTGAAAAATTAAATATGACAGCGAAGTGTGTTTGTCAACTTTTGTATTACAGTATTTAAAGGCAATAAAACTTAGCTGAGCTGAACTGGAATATATTGAAGGTACGTACCACTCTGTGTTTCTGAGCATTGTCCTGATCCTGCCTTTTAAGAGAGCAGGGTTTCTGGAGAGCCTGCTCAGAGACAGCTTGTGTTTATTAGTTCTTTGACATGTTACTGATTCCAGGAGGAAGTTCAGAACTCATATTCAGTTCACCATGACAACTTAAAACGTACTTAAAACATGCTAACTGAAAAGTGGTAAGTGAAGGAAGCTGTGTGTTCAGACAGATTCAAAATCTGAAACCAATTGTCATGAGAGAGTGCTCTGCTTCCCTGCTCTTCCCTTCTTCCTTCATTTTTACCATGCTTTTCTCCTTAAAATTATCTCATTTATTTATTTGTTTGTTTGTTTACATTTCTACCCCACCCCCCTACTCGGGGCGGCTTACAAATATATGGACCCAAGGTGGCTTACGTCATTGAAAGAGTGGACCCAAGGTGGCTTACGTTATTTGAAAGACAATATATAAAGCTAAAAAGAATGAGTATAAAAAAGAGAGCTGCCATTATTAAAAGACAATATTAAAGCTAAAAGAGCGCTGCCATTATTAAAAGACAATAAGCATATACATATTAAGGAATAAAAAATAACTCTGGGAAATGGTAAACACAAGCAATACTAAAAGCTCAGTAAAAGCAGTAATGCATAACAATCCATCTAAATGGATTCCATTCAGGCAGCTAGTCACTGAGGGAAAGATTGCCTGAAAAGAAGGGCCTTTGCCTGCTTGCTTTGAACTACTTCAGTTCCTTCCAAATGTGATAAGCCAGCCCTGCTGTATTTGAGGGTTCTGCTTATTCTGTTCAGTGGGCTTCAGCAAAGTATTGCCTTGATGGTATCCTTAGAGCAGTGGTTACCAACCTACGGTAACCCTGGTGTTCTTTGACTGCAGCTCCCATCAGTCTTCATCATTAGCGGTGCTGTCCAGGGTTTCTGGGAGTTGCAGTCCAAGGACACTTGGGTTACCCAAGGTTGGGAACCGCTGCCTTAGAGCAAATAGCTTGGTGCTTTTTTGTTGCTTACCTCTCTGCTGGAAGTCACGTCTACCTGGTGCTGTTTGACTTGAAGAAGCATCAGTTAGGTTTTTTGTGTACATGATACAAACAGAAGACACAGTTACTTCTTGATATACTGCAGTTTCTGAGTTCTATGAAATCATTTGATACACATCTGTACTATACAATATGAAACTGAATGTTAAGAAAACATGTACAGATAGAACTCTTCCTACTGTGGAGGCTTGATGCAAGACGTTCCTCCTGTATGTAAAAATTAGCACACACAAATATTGCCCCATCTTTACTACAGCCATCACGTAAGTAACCATGCGGAAACTGAACACATCAGCATTCAGAGAACACAGTTTGGAGCTAATAAATGCAAACCAGAGAAAATAATGCATATACATTTCAGCGGATGCATTCTCTAGATCAGTGATTCCCAGCCTTGGGTCCCCAGATGTTCTTGGACTAAATCTCCCAGAAGCCTTCACTGCTAGCTGTGCTAAGCAGGATTTCTGGGAGTTGTAGTCCAATAACATCTGGGGACTCAAGGTTGGGAACTACTGCTCTAGATTGTGTCCAGAAGCAAAACAATGACCTATGTGTTCAGGAGTAAGAAAAAAATGGAATGAGTTATACTCCAGTTTGTTAAAGACATTTTTGAAATCAAATTTTTGGTTTTGCTTAACCACTGAAGATTTAGATAGTTTTTCTCTCCCAGCATTAGTTGGGAGAGAAATGTCTGGGAGCAGGCATGCAACTTTTTATTAGTTTAGGTGAGATGCAGGGAAGGCAGAATGGGAGGAGAACTTTGTCCTGCTCTAGACATCCAGCAAAAATGTTAAATCCACAATTCAGTGGTGTTTCTGAGACCATCCCCTTCACTGTCTTACACTGAAAGGAAGGAATGCCACAAATTTAGTAGCAAGATAAAACACAGTGGAGTAAAGTGTATCTCATCCTTACCTGGTGCTCCAGTTTCTATGTACTGTGCCCTGTAGAAAGGGGTGCCATAAATTTATGTCCATAGCACTCTATGCAAGTGTAACCCCCGTGGCCCTTAAATTTAATCCTCTGCCTTCCCTTTGCAGTTGCAGGCATAGAAATAAACTGTATTTGCATACATAGTACTGATGGGTCATTTCTGTCACCCTAGATTTGATTGGATAAATATTAAATTATAAACTTGGGTCAAGATAGGATAATGACAGCTGATATTCCTTGACTTTGTTAATTTCAAAGCCAAGATGGAAACACTTCATTTTATCTTCAGTAGTGCCTGAAATCTGCTATAGAGTATAAGTGTTATTCAACTACTCATCACTAAGCAACAGTGACCACAGAAGTATTAAATCAAACATAAATGTGAATGGAAGGTTGCCTGGAAAAGCTGATACACTCATCTTTAGTTGCAAAATAAAACATTTCCAGTGCAATAAAATGATGAATATTACACGAATCAGCGATTTCTGACAAATATCGCGATTCTTTTTTTATTTGTCCCCATGTCTACTCTTAGGCTTTAGGATCAGGACTCTCTTCTCTCCCCATAATTCTACCACAATATCAAGTCTTCCCTTAGAGAACTGTGAACAGTGTTGATTGAAAAAAAGAGTTGTCTTGTTAGTGACATCTTTTTTATGACATATTGTCACAAGGTAAGTTTATCTAGGGTAAATTCTTATGTCTTGGTGTCAGTTGAAGACCTTTCAGTTTGTTTTAATCTTGTATGTAATGTTTACATCTGGGCCAGGTCCCAGAATGTTTTCCTGACTGAACCGCTTCCATCAGCAGAAACGAATGATACATTGTGCCCCTCCAGCCACCTTGGGAGAAGCCTCTGGGGCTGTTTTTCCAACGATGTGGAGGGCTTTAGTAGGAAAGAGACAAAGCTATACCATTTTAGTACATGGTATGTGACTTTATCCCTCAAGCACTCTGCCATGAAGAATAAGTGTGAGGCTCTCATGAAAAAAGAAGAATGTGGTGTTTCCTCCAAAGAAATGGAAAATGCATGCTTTGCAAAATAGGAAAGAGAATAGGGTAACAGTGGGAAGGTAGCTCACCAGATTTTGGCAGAAAGCTGGTTCTTCCTAACACATAATCATAGTCTATTTGATGCTCTCTAGAGCAGCATATAGCTTTTGACCTAAGAATAACCTTTTGAACTGAGAACAACCACTTTCTTTCTGCAGTATTCCATGAAGGTCTGTATGTATAAGTTCTCTCAAGTCACTTCCAACTTAGAATGATACTAATAAGGTTTTTAAGCTTTGCAAGAATGTCAAGAAATGGTTTACCATTGCCACTCCCCATAAATCTTACATGGCCAAGGGGGAGTCTAACACTACTGGCTCTGCTACAACATAATCAATCTCATGTGAAGGGTTGAAAAGTTGTAATGACAGTGGTGCTGAAGTGCAGATTTTCTATGTGTTTTCTATGCAGATAATTGCCCCTCCATCATGATTGGACTGGGATGTTTGAAATATAAACAAAGATCCACAACTGAATTCCTAATTAATGAACTATTTGTTTCTTCTTAATGTGGTATATAAAGTGTTACTAATCAATATGCATTTGACAAATAGCTGAAATCCACAGTAGAGAGGGTTGGGATTACAGAAGAATAAAGAGTTCTTTATTTTTGTGCACTAATTCTGCAGTAGGATGGATATTGTAAGCAACAAATATATTTAAACAGCTGGGATCTTAAAGATGAGTCACCATGAAGCTATCGGCTCCTGACTTTACAATTTAAATCAGCCTGTGTTTGTCTTTACTTATTGATAACCCAGAGTAATGTCTGCCTCAAGCATTGCTTAACAAGATAGCAAATTGAGATATGGGAAGTTTCTAGGCTCGGCCCTTTTTCCAGATCCCTCTTGCTAGCTCCCTGAAATAGTAGTCTTTGCATACTGAAATAAATTGCTGGATACATCCTTAAATATTTGTATCATGCACCTCTTTCATGAAGCCCCCCATATTCTTAAATGTCCCTTTCTTTTGCAACTACCAGTGTATTAAATTCCAGTGCATTTAGGTCCTTTTGCATGATAACTTTAGAAGACAGAAACATGGATACCTGTGGTTTTAAGATTGTAGAAATAGCAGAAAAAGAGTAATACAGTACATAGAAATGGAGAAAAGTTCCAGAAGTGGTTATTAGAAGTTAATTTTATCTCAGCAACAGAGGGCTGGCTCTGCTGTTAGGCAAGGTGACACACCGGCCTCAGGCACCAGATTCTGCTGTCAGGGAAAAAGCAGGAAAGTGTTATTTGATTGGTTATTAGTTGGTTACTATGGCCACAGATTGGATATGGAACAACTGATTGGTTCAAATTTGGGAAAGGAGTACGAAAAGGCTGTATATTGTCCCCCTGCTTATTTAACTTATATGTAGAATACATCATGCGGAAGGCTGGACTGGAGGAATCCCTGGAGGAATCCCAAGCCGGAATTAAGACTGCTGGAAGAAATATCAACGACCTCTGATATGTACGGTAGATGATACCACTCTGATGGCAGAAAGTGAGGAGGAATTAAAGAACCTCTTAATGAGGGTGAAAGAGGAGAGCGCAAAAATGGTCTGAAACTCAACATCAGAAAAACTAAGATCATGGCCACTGGTCCCATCACCTCCTGGCAAATAGAATGGAAAGAAATGGAGGCAGAGACAGATTTTACTTTCTTGGGCTCCATGAGCACTGCAGATGGTGACAGCAGCCACAAAATTAAAAACCTGCTTCTTGGGAGGAAACTGATGACAAATCCAGACAGCATATTAAAAAGCAGAGACCTCACCTTGCCAACAAAGGTCCACATAGTCAAAGCGATTTTTTTTTCCAGTAGAGATGTACGGAAGTGAGAACTGGATCATAAAGAAGGCTGACTGCCAAAGAATTGATGCTTTTGAATTGCGGTGCTGGAGGAGACTCTTGAGAGTCCCCTGGACTGCAAAGAGAACAAACCTATCCATTCTGAAGGAAATCAACCCTGATTGCTCACTGGAAGGACAGATTCTGAAGCTGAGGCTCCAATACTTTGGCCATCTCATGAGAAGAGAAGACTCCCTGGAAAAGCCCCTGATGTTGCGAAACTGTCAAGGCAAGATGAGAAAGGGACAACAGAGGACAAGATGGTTGGACAGTGTCATTGAAGCTACCAACATGAATTTGACCCAACTCCACAAGGCAGTGGAAGACAGGAGGGCCTGGCGTGCTCTGGTCCATGGGGTCACGAAGAGTCGGACATGACTTAATGACTAAACAACAACGGGCAGAGATCAAAAAAGCTTTTGTGGGATTTTCTGCCTTAGGTACCAAAAGAACTTGGCTGACTATGGTTAGTAGGAACCTTGATGTTGTCTGAGAGAGTTCTTATTTGCTGCTTTATCCCAGGTAGCTAAAATGTCCCTCTAGAAATGTATGCATTTGTATTGATTACTGCATATCCATTGGTTGGTTAGTCGCAAGACCAAGGGAAATGACAAATACAAATCAAACGCCGAAGAAATATCTTGTGCTTCTTGTATTTTACAGTAATAAAGGATCTGGTTGTTCTGTGTGGTTCAGTCCCCTTCTCCGTGTCCTGTTTTGATTTCGGGATTTCACCTTCGATTTATTTGGGCCCCAGTTGAAGTTCATGGGGATAACTGGAAAATAAAAATGCATACTTGCTTTATACTGAGTTGTAGTTTTTCCTGACAATGTTTTTACCTCCAGGCAACTGAAACGTGAATTTCCCAGTGCAGTCATTTTTAGCACTGACGACTACTTCTTCACAGAGGATGGCAGCTATGTTTTTGATCCAGATTGTCTGGAAGATGCACACAAGTGGAATCAAAAAAGAGGCAAGTACAATCCTTTGTTGTTGGGGATTAGTAGGTTTTGCTTTCTCTGTTATCTTAGTTAAAAAATAATGACTGAAAAGACCTTTAACAACTGCCTGCTGCTCTTACCCTTCTTGTTTTCATAAGAATGGCTCTCAGAGTTTATTAAGTCAACACAGCACTTGATAGTATTAACAACTTAGAATCTTTATTACTTAGTCTCATTCTACAGAAAAAACTCTTAAAATACCAACCACCTTGTGACTGACATGACTAATTTAGTTCTTTTGTGGTATGTGCATGCAACTGCATTATAAATTTGCCTTGTACAAACTGTTCTCTTATCAGTTTACATAATTGCTTCTATTAGATCCATTAAAAAGAGACACTATTTTATACTAAAATAGATATTCCTTGTTCCAGTAAGTGAGCCACAATTTATTTATATATTTCATTTCCGAAAGGTTTTCTTGTTTACAGCCTATTTTGGGCAGAACTAAGCATTCTTACCTTGCCTGGTGGAAAAGTGATTACAAAGCATTGGGCAGGAATATGAGAAATATTTTTAGGAAGTGTAAAAAGCAGTTGTAAACACAGAAGTTATATTTGTCTGGGGATAGCAGTTCTTATACCTGGTTCTTATATATTTATTTTGGAAAATTAAGAATCATACTTCTTTTCTGTCTACATTGTTCCCAGTATTCCTGGAGTTACTCCAGATGAAAACTAAAACCATCACATCATCTTCCAGAACCCCATCCAAATGTTTGCAGACTCTCCTTTCTTCATTGCCAGCTGAGACCACGCATATACCATGTCTTCAACATCAATTTTCTTTCCCCCGATCTTGTGTCATACATCTGCCCTTTGTAACACCTTGCCTGCTGAAGAACACTCAAGATCTTAAAAATTTTGCATACATTTTGTGCCCATTTGGTTGATCTAATGAAGATACATATATTACAGTGGATTTTATGTCTCTTCCAAGGCATTCACTTAGTATATTGACCACATAATTGTTTGTTATTCAAAGAGGCTTGATTTAAGACAGTTCCCTTTGATTTGTTCCACTGATCATTCAGTCTTGTAAAACATTTACATTATTATGTTACAGCACGTAAAGCAATGAAGAATGGGAAATCCCCAGTTATTATTGATAATACCAACATCCACGCTTGGGAAATGAAGCCATATGTGAGAATGGTAGGGGAAACAATGATCTGTTATGATTTTTAATATTGGGTGCAAGAGGTGAGCAGATAACCTTATATGTAGCTCAAACTATGCAGACAAAAATTCGCAATAATTTTTAAATGGGCCTTTTCCCCAGACGTCTCAAAATGCAGAAATCCCATTTTTGTCCAAGCCTTAGAACATTTTTGTGCAGCAGCTGGATTTACATTGAACTGATTTCAATCAGCATTGCTTTCTTCGGCTACATTTAACTGCTCTATTTTTTTATAAGCTTGGTCAGCAAATATTTTAAGAAGCCATTTACAGTTATATAGATATTTGCTCAGAGCCTTCAAATGCATAGTGCATGCCAGGCTCTGATATTTATGCTTGGTCTGATCTTACACTTAAGTCTTATTTATTGTCTGCGCCACAATTGGTCCAACCAGTAAGGTCAACTTTCTGTTTTCTTGTATGCAGCTGCCTTATCCCTAGTCAGACTTCTAATATATTCTGACTAGCCGTAAAGTACTGAGTCAGCCCATCATATTCCTTCCTCATACCCTTTTGGGTGAAATATGTTAGCCAGAGCTTTAAGCAGTTACATTTTCTGGACAATTCCGGGTGTTGTGCAGGAATTGTACTCTTAAAAAAATAACAGTTCCAAGCTCTGCAAAGGATCTTATAGAGATAAAGCATGTGCTAGGCACTTTGCCTCAATTTAGGTATGGCTGACCTGGTTTTTATTTTCAGAAATGGACATATATGTATGTATTCCATATACTTATATATAACTCAGTTAGCGCCAGGTATTACTCTGAGCAGTTTGCAATCCATAAGAATTCCAAACGATATAATAACAAATCATCAATTCTATCAACTCTTTTGCTGGATGATATACAGGTGTTTTTTCTTCAATTGGGATCACCATGGATAAGAATTCAGTGCTCATAGTGTAGTTCATAGAGACACTGTATTAAACATAGTTCTCATTCCTATTAACATCTAGAAGTGATTTTGTGATTGTCATGGAAACATGAACGCATAGTGTTTGTCAGTTTGATGTGATATATTTTCTGTCTCTGTGACTGAAAAATCACTTCTTAATATGATTTTAGAATTCATAGATCAATCTGCTGATTTCCCTTTCTTCCCCTTTTACTTAATATACTCTTGAAAGCTTCTGCATGATTAACAGGACAAAGAGTTCAACATCCATAGCTTACAGCATAATTTGTGTGGAGAAAAAACTGCAGAATGCTGCATGCCTCACAGTGTTTGGTGTTTTTCTTGAGAAGGGAATTTTTTAGTCATTTTGTCAGAGGAAAGCAACATTGTTCAGACTCAGTGGCAGCATTTGATATGTATAATTTGATTCAAACACTCTTGATAGTCAGACACATATAAAATTAAGAATAACATACACTTAAATGCACAACTGTTTTGAATTACTGAATGCCATTCCAAATACGTAGCATTAATGGTGTGGCCATGTTATTCTGAGCTACAATCCTGCTGGAGTTGACATTTAGTTGTCCCCACAATGAAAGACACTTCCAAGCTATTCTGTATGGTCGGGACTCAAAACAAACTGTGTGAAACTGTAGGGAATGTTAGCGTTATGCCCACACATTGTGGGTAATGTAACATCTTTCTTTTCTAGCTAATGAGTTTCATCACAGTGAGTGGATATGACATAATTGTGTAGGCTAGAAGTCTATATAGTTGTGTTTCGGTGAGTTAAAGATTTTTTTTTTTGGTGGGGTGGTGGTGGTGACAAGTGAACATGGGAAAGCTGCCGCAATATAATGTACATAAAAATGACTATGGGGCAAGATAACAAATAGTGCACTCTTTCTCATCAGGCACTTGAAAACAACTACGAAGTTATATTTAGAGAGCCAGATACACGCTGGAAATTCAATGTCCATGAACTCACAAGGTATGGGGCATGTGAGCTATTGTTTTAAAAAAAATTCTAGGTTGGCAAAGTGTAGGGAAGTGCCTTACAGAATTGTGGCCGTTATCTGCAACTCAACTCATAGATTCCCAAGACACAGTGTCAGCACTGGGAATCAATAGGGCTACAGTGCAAAATTGCAGCCTTGAAAAGTGGCAGAAAGGGGTGACAATGTCTGTATCTCACATCATTCATTCAGATAGAAGGTAAAGCAAAACTTAATTGGAAGATGGGATTTAAACACATGTATTCTGCCATACAGACCTCTTTTAAGCATATTGAGTTGGATGCAGATTTAAGTACATGTAAGTAGGCTAGCAAGATCAGACAGCTGCATCTTGCCCTCTCTACAGCAGTTATTCCTTCCCTTTGAAAATGCTACATAGAAGGTTGAAGGCCCTCTGTTGAATGGGGTGAGTTGGGGTGCCAAGTGGGCATGGTACTCTCAAAAATCACTTAAAGGCAGGTTCTGTGAGTGCAAACCTTCACCCATGGATCTGATCTACCTTATTTTAATTGAATGTGCCTCTGCGGCTGGGTTCTTGGAGACTTTGACATGAAAGCTTACTGGAACAGCAGATAGGATTGCTGTTCACCAGCCAACCAGCCCTCTTTCAAGACACATCCATCCACCTCCATCCCTTAATTTGCAAGCTAATGCACACTCTCTGTGACTACAGAGAATGGCAGCTCACGTCATTGTTCTGGGGTTTCTGTTGAACTGATCAAACATGCTGCCAATGTTTCTTTCTTTCTTAGTCGTAACTGTTTGGGCTCAATATCTCTTTGCTCTTTCCAGCTATACTCACTGCTAGGGAGCAATAAGTGCAACCCCCAACAGAATGTTGCAGGGTTGATTGCCCTGTTCAGTGTTCAAGACAGCCATGTAGAATAATCAATCATTTTCCTGCTCTTCTGTTTCTCCCCAACAGATACTCAGTACTGCTGTTCCAAGTATACTTGGTTCTTATTGGATTATGTTGAAAGGGACATGACTGTCTAAAGGGTGTCTTCCCCCCCCCCACACACACTTTGGGTAGTTTGCAAACATTGGTGTTGCCCAGAGCATGTTGTAACTCTTTCTTTTGTCCCCTGGTCCTGATCTTGGATACATAGCTGCTGGCAATGATCACCTGGGCTTTCTCTGACAGGAAGTGCATCCCCATAGTCTCTTAGTGTCCCTCTTGCACATGCCATGCTAATCTTGCTCTTGTAAAATTTGTATGGGCAGATTTCTGAGCTGGGCGGTTCTGGAGATGGAATGAGCAACTGTTACGGTCATGGATACCATACTCTTGCTTTTCATATGTTTAGTAGTTCAGTTTAAGTTCTGTTGGTTTATATTTATGTACTGTATTTGTTTGCATTTATTCTGTAGACGGAATAACCATGGTGTTCCACGGGAGAAGATACAGCGGATGAAAGATCAGTATGAGCATGATGTTACTTTTCACATTGTGCTTCATTCTGAAGAGCCAGTCAGACATTTTACCAGGCCTTATGAAGAGTACAATACAAATTATGCCCTTCTGAATTCAACATTCCCCAGCAGAAGAGTGAACAGCAATGCTGCAAATGAAAGACCTTTTAGTAGGCGAAATGGGTTCAACAGGGTGTTTTAGGATTTTTATGTAGTTCTAAAAGATTTGGGGCAAAATCCAATTTTAGTCCAAACCAGAGTAGATCTCTTGAAATTTATGGACCTACATTATTAACCGCCTTAGGTCCTTTTGAGAAAGTTGGGGTAAAAATATTTTGAATAAATAAATACTAACAAGTCCAGTTAATTTAAGTAGGCCTACTCTAGTTAGGATCAGATTTGGATTTAGCCTTTTGTTTTATATTTGTAGCAGTTTTTTACTTTAAAAATTGATATTTTTCTACAAAGCAAGATTAAATCTTCAAATCATTCCACATTCTTTCTGAACCTTAAAATGAACCATGTTAGTATCCCTCTGATATAATACTTATATACTGATAAACAGATTTTGAGCTGTACAGTGGTGCCTCGACTTTTGACCATAATCCATTCCAGAAGATGGACATAACTTGAAATGATGGTCATAAGTCGAAGCACCATTTCCCATAGGAATGTAATGAAATTCCGACCAAAGGAAAAAAAACACACACACCCCATAAATCACTGCAAGACTCATTGGAAACGTGATTAATCCCTTGCGGCTGAAGGGGGGAAATAAAAGCAATCAAGCATGCAAGACCCATTGGAAATGCACAGAAAACAAATGAAGCAGATCGGAAATGCACAGAGAACAAAGGGGGCGGGTTGGAAACGCAAAGAAAACAAAGGAAAAAACAAGGGAAGTATGCAGGACCCATCAGAAATGGGGAACCCCCCAAAAAGCAACCAAACCCCCAAGACCCATCAGAAATGGGGGGAAAGCCAGACAAACAAACCCCGAAGACCCACTGGAAATGGGGAAAACCCCCAAGAAACAACCCACCCAAGACCCATTGGAAATGGGAAAAAACACTCCATAAAGTAACAAAAACCCTCAAGACCCATCGGAAACGGGGGAAAAAAACAAAAAACCCAAACTCCCCAAGACCTATCACACACAGAAACCTAACCCCCCCCCAGCTCAAAACCACGCTGCAGAAACACCCAGAACAGTTTTTAAAAAGCAGAAAACAGCATCTTACCTTATCAGGCAGCCCGAAGCCTCCCTGCAAACACACACATCACTCACTCAGAAGCAGGAGGCAGAACCAAGCCTCCAGCAATGACGCACTAACTGCTGGGTGAAAGAGTTACAAATTATCCAGCAATGACGCACTCTAACTGCTGGGTGAAAGAGTTACAAATTAGCAGTCTCATTGCCACCTACAGTTAGAAATTAGAATTTCCCACCTTTTTCCCCTGCCTTTTTCTGTTCTTAAGTGGAAGCTCTGGTTGCAAGTTGAAGCAAACTTTTTTTGGCCGGAGCTGGTTGTAACTCGAAATGGTTGTAAGTAGGGACATTCGGCAATGACGCACTCTAACTGCTGGGTGAAAGAGTTACAAATTAGCAGTCTCATTGCCACCTACAGTTAGAAATTAGAATTTCCCACCTTTTTCCCCTGCCTTTTTCTGTTCTTAAGTGGAAGCTCTGGTTGCAAGTTGAAGCAAACTTTTTTTGGCCGGAGCTGGTTGTAACTCGAAATGGTTGTAAGTAGGGACATTCGTACGTTGAGGCACCACTGTTGCACTTTTAAGCCCTTTTGTCTTTAGCAATGCTTATGCAAGGCTTTGTTTTCACAACCATTTTTGACAGGAAGGTGTATATGGTAATACACTACTGTAATGTTTAGCTGATGCTCAGCTCTGTGATGCTCAGATAACTAGTAGTGGGAGAACAGCATCCATGAGCAGAATTGATCAACAGGTGGCTATGTGATATTTGAAATGACTTAATCTTAGGCTCCGAGATTCTCATGGTTGGATTGCAACTCACTGACCATGAGGGACTGATGATAGAGGAAGTCAAATTTTGGACCACAGGTTCTTAAGCTGGTGTTCTTTTAATTAACATGAGAGAACAGACCAGGTTGTGTACATTTGTCTAGAAAGAATATTTTTATTCTCTATTAATGAGGAGGTGTATTGTGTTTTTATCATACATTTTAAGCTGGAATCTTTTTTTTTCTTGAATCACTTGTGATGACTATGCAGAAACAAAAGGGAAACAAATTAAAATGACAGAATTTTTAAAATATTGACTCATCTCTTATTCGCACAGAGCTCAGTACCAGTGAATTCAGCAGGACTGAACTGGAGCCTCAAAGAATGTAGTGAGATGAAGGACTATGTACCTCTGAAATTCAGGTTTTAGTTACATTTTGTCATGCTTCATGCTTTAAAAATAGCAAAAATATATGTAGTTAATTCAAAGATACTGGTTGCAATCCAGTGGCTGAAATCCTGTTGGTGCAACTATGCCTGCAGAAGGGTGATGTCAGTAATTTTCAGTAATGAAAAACTTCTGTCCCTTTTTTCCAGTCCCTTTCATCCTGTGGAAGCTATGGGAGTCATGACACAGGAGGACGAAATCTCAGAAATTGCCACCAGATAGCCTTTCTGGCCACAGGAGCTCTTTTATAATCAAAACCTCCTCCTTCCCTCCTACAGCTACCACACAATGAAAGCCATGGGAAAGAAGTAGGAATATTAAACTTTTTTTAAAAAGCCCTCTGCCCATGATGTAACCATCTTTCTGCAGGTGTAAGCTACAGAATAGGATGTTAGCCAAGACGATTATGAACATTTGTGCTCCATTAGTTTACTGCATTGTAAGTGAGCATTTTCTGGTTAGTTGTAGTCATTCTTTATATAGATGTACATTGTTTTATGTAATGTAAATTAGTTTTATTATTAATCCAAATGATATTTTCAAGGATATTGCTACCTTTTGTAGCATACTTCATGATGGATTATTGCAATAAACACAAAATAAAAGGCAAAGTTCACCTTCTGTACATATTAAGCTTTCAGTTCTTCCATTTTTAGATTAAAAACAAGACCCCTAAACCCAGAACAGTATTTGGAAGAAACCACAGAGCAAGTACCACAATATCTTCATTAAGAAAAAAAAGTGCCACGTGGTCTTTGTACACAATTGAAGGGCACGAGTGGGTGGTGTCTTTATCCTGCTAGACAAAGGGTTGCCAGCTGAATGACTGGCAACTCTTCATCTAACAGGATGGGGAGAGACATTCCAATCAACACAACCAGAGGTAGAACCTGAAACCTAAAGATTGTGCGCAACCTTCATTTTGAAAGTTACTTTTAACAAAAGAACCTGGCATGCACATCTGGCCAATTTTTGGAATTTTTTTTTCCTCCCTCCACCATTGACAGCTCTGTGATGCCCAACCCAATAAAGACCTCTAATGGAGCTGAAAGCAGTCATGTTTGTGATTTTTTAAAAGTGGTCTAATAAATGTATCATTGACCCTTGCCATCAAATTCTTTCTGTAGCAAATCTTAAAAGTATCAAGGAATTTTCTTATATTTTTTTTTCCAAACCAAATATTGTCAACTTCTTTGTGTGTCCTTAGGAAGAGAATAAGCATGATGTTTTTTTAAAGAAAATGTGTTGAAATATCATATCAATACCTGTCCACCAGACTTCTGATGCACTGTCCCATACACTTCTGTAGAGTGCACACCATGAGAATTTGGAAATGTGACTCAGTTTTTAAATAAATGTTCTGATATTTAAGATAAAAATAAATGAAACCAGTAACAATATTAAAATTAGTGTCATTGTTGAACTGGTAGCATGCACCTCCATAAGACTTCATCTTTTTGGAAGGATACACCATCTCTCTGGTCTTTATTTTGAATTGAAATATATGCAACATGCAAACAGATCTGTGTAGACATTCACAATGTTCAAAGTATTAAAAGGTCATTTAAATATTAAAACATATGGGAAACATACAAGAACATTAGTATTTTCACTTCCCTTGCCTTTGCAACTCCCTCTGAACAGCTAATAAATTTTTCGTTCCATTTGTCTCCTTTGCAGGAGTCTCAGCTGCTTTTGTAGTGTCCGATATATTTTTTCTATCAGCAGTCTGGAAAGAATTATTTCTTAGCGTCAGATTGCTGGGTGAATCACTGTGTCGTGTACACACAGTTTTATCAACAGAATCAACCCCTCTTTCTTCTGGAAAATTGCTTAAGGTTTGTGTATTTATCATTGCAAGCTCTTCATCAGCAACAAAATAATTTTCAAGAGAAAAGCCACCGTCGTTGATTTTTTGCAAGGCAGGTTTTTTAACTTCATTATATTCTGTCCCTTTCAGTGATCTTTCATGCTGTGTGCTTCGAGGTGGTTGAAATGCCCTTTTCAAAGATGGAGAAATAAATGTGCAGATTGGCTTCACTGGAGGTGGAGAAGGCACCCGACTAAGCATATCCATTGCTTTTCTCTTCTTACAGTTCCTCAGAGTTTCTTGTTCTGGTGTTGATTTTGCCAAGCCAAAAGAAACCAACAGCTTTGAATCTGTTGTCAAAGTGCTGTGATGTCTTTGTTCACTGTTAGGTGTCGTAATCTCATTAAAAGATAAAGAAAGGCATCATTAGGTTTACATTCCCTCAGTTACTTCTACACGCTAGAGAAATCTCAAATAAATATGCCCCACTGTTTTTGTGCTTATTTACGACCACCACTTCAGATATACCTGCAAACATTTCTACTGGTCATTGTAAGACATTTTGGTTGAAACCCAAAACACAATATTTTAGTGGTTCTGTCTGCCACATGAAAATAGAATGATTCTTTCTTTTAATTTGGAGTAGACACACTTAGGATTGTATTTTAATAAACTTACTGGATGTTTACTGCCTGCACCAGATTTCCAAGGAGAAGGAAAGGGACTGAAGTCAAATTCTGGAGGTGACTTTAGCACTTGTGGGTCATCTGCCTGAAGCAAGTTCATCAGATTGAAGTGCGCATCTTTGCCAAAACAGGTGTCATTCTACAAAGTAAATAGATTTAATTTATAGTTCAGATCACAAAATCCTTGCTAAAACAGTTCTGGATTGCTCCTGTGTGAAAGTGGTTATATAATTGCACGCACAACTTTTTCCACCATAAAACCAGTTCTCACTAACACTCAGTATGTTTACTCAGTTATCCAATCCAGTTTTCGCTTTAATCATAATAAAAGTTTGATGATAAGTATAGTCACTCTGAGTCAGTCAAAATACATTTAATTTGTTGTGGGTTTTTTGTTTTTTTGTGGGGTTTTTTTGCAGTTTTTCTTCCTCAAATATTTCTTAACCTCTTTGAGTTGTTGGCCTAGGAAAAGCAAACAAAAGCAGCGGCAGCTGCGTTGGCCACGAAATGAATTCTAAAATCCATAATGAGATAATACCTTTAGTAGATCAACCAAAAACATGACCAGTGAAATATGATGTGAACAGTGTATATCATGAAGGGGAAACCTACCACTAAAACCATAGAAATTCTCTAATATTTCTACATCTGTCCAAATGTTTCTAGAGTAGGATCTGCATACAAATACCCACATTTATGCATTTAAGCAGCCAATCTATACGTAAAACATACATGGGATAAGGCATGGATAAGTCCACACATTTCTCTACAAATACCTCAGGAAAGCCATTAACAGAACTGTAAACTACACCCCTGTCCTTAAAATATTTCTGCAGGTCACATATAAATTTGATTTTAAAATGTATTGTTATGTTATAAAGTATACTACAGTGGTGCCTCGTTTAACGAGTGCATTATGTCATAAAGTATACTACTGGAGTTTGCAGCTGACATTGTAGCTCTGAGTGGGAACAGGCTGCTAGAAGCACATTACAGTAGTCTAGGATTCATATATAGAAAATCCCCCCTTATACAAAGAAATACTAAACTGACTTTAGAGACATGTCAAGGCCCAATTGCAGCTGGCATTGTAGCTCTGAGTAGGAACAGGCTGCTAGAAGCACATTACAGCAGTCTAGGATTCATATACAGAAAATCCCTCCTTATACAAAGAAATACTGAACTGACTTTAGAGACATGTCAAGGCCCAAACTTGCTTAAGTTTTCTGAAATAAGAGTTGTATAAAATAGTTGTACATTCCCAGAATGTCCCTGGCAGATAGGGGAGATATTTATTCCATTACACCTGTATCATTTTACCTCTACAGTATTTCTTAGTTCATTAAATTCTCCTTGGAGATGGGCTTCCTTTGGATTTGAGGAGAATGTAGAAAAATTCCCAGCAAATACGGTGGGAATCTCTGATTTGAAGTTTGGTTGCCACTGAAGATTAGTTGCAGAGATCAACATGGAAGGAATAATGATGTCTTCAATAGCAAGCTGCTTAAGATCTGCAGAGATCTGGACTGATATTAGATGATGATCTTTATCTGACAAGTACACTAGTGTAGAAGAACCTAGACAAGAAATGAAACACAGAATTTAAATTCATTAAATTGCTTAAATGTTTATATTTTATCAAAGAAAACAAGAGACAATTTGTCCAAAAAATTTCACTTTGTTTTACTCCAGTTGTAAATCAAAGGAATTATTATGCCAGAAACAGAAAGGGACTGTAGCCCATGAAAACCTTTTGTCAAAATAAATTAGTAATTGTAAAATCTTAATGCTCATTTTGGGATTTGCTTTGGAGATTGAGAGAGGTGCAAAGATAGGAAAAAGTTACTGAAAATCTAATTTATAATTTTGTAAATGGAAGGGAAAGGGAAATTAGTTGGTTTCTACCGATGTAGGTACTAAAAGCAAGGTTATTTTTAACCAGTCCAAACTTTCATTTGCAATACATTTTTGTATTCATACAAGATTGAAATACAATGATTTCCAGCCTTATGTGGCCAGAAATGCTAGAGTGAAAATGAAAATTCTGCCAAGATTTTCATATGTGTTTTGAAATCTCCTCCCTGTAGTTCCACAGGAATAATGCAACCAAATCCTATTTTGCCAAAATAAATATATGTAGAATTTTATGACTTCAGGAATGAAGAGTGGGCGTAAAGCAACAAAATTGTATTATATTGTTTGCTGTGCATCACTGGATGTTTTGTCATACAAATACAGTGGTGCCTCGCTTAACGAGTGCACCGTATAGGAGTGGGCATAAAGCAACAAAATTGCATTATATTGTTTGCTGTGTATCACTGGATGTTTTGTCATACAAATACTTGAACACTAAGTACTGGATTCGTATCAGAGTTTATGGAGTAACAGCATAAGAGAAGTACCAGGTCACTTAGGTGGAATCAGTGAATGTTTTCGCAAGGATAAAGAGTGGTGCCTTGGTAGGAAGTTAACAGTACAGCAGTATGTATGACACATGGGTCACTTTGAATCTTTGATCTTCAAAGTCAGATAGTGAGCCCCGTGGCACAGTGGGTAAAATGTAAGTCAGATCTCTGCTCATGACCCGGGTTCGATCCCGACGAATTCAGGTAGCTGGCTCCCATGCTACTGAGTTTGGGAAATTGAGTACCCAGCTTACTGGGGGGCAAAATGTTCCTTTTATCAATCAATATTACCAAAACATAATTGTTATATAATCTGAATGATTATGATAGGGAAATAAAGCAATCTCTCTCAAAACAGTATATCTGAATATTGCTACCAACGTACCTATTCCTTTCCTCAAAGAAACTATATATCCCACTAAATCCACTTCAAAACAGGCAGGTCGGAAAGTTGCATCCAATAGCATGTTGAACTTGAGACACTCCCTTGGTCTGTAGACTTGTGACAGAACCTCTTGAGAGACCTAACAGAATTTTGAGCAACAGCGTTATGAAGGTTTCCTGAACATTTAGGTCAATGCCACTTACAGGTTATAAATACTCACTGCCAGCTGCAGATACTGAGTTTTCTTTGTTGCTGTTAGCTGTATAGCAGCAGTCTCTGATTTGCCTTTGTATTGGGATGTCACTATGTGGAAGATCTGATACCGACTTCCTTCCTTTAGAAGGGTACAGACATCTGATAATGGACGCCAAATGTTCAATATAACTTCTAATGCACACAATTAAACAAAATACTAAGTCTCCAGAGCAACATGGACCATTCTTCAGACAGCATATGAAGTACAAAGTTATTTATATATGGGCTGTGGAGGAACACTGAAAAAATGCTTTTGTTTAATGTTTTTAAATATTTTATTATTTATATCATAATGCAGTCATTGATGAGGAATACATAATGAATGTACAGTAGATAGTCAGGCAATATAAATAATACAATGTTTAGTTATACTGATACACATTATTTTGCCATTCTAATGACTGAGCACTTACTCAGAGGAGAATGGTATTCTAATCTTACTAACCTTTGCTGCTTTCTTCATTTTTGTAATCCACAATTCGTAATTTGAGTACAGCAGTTACATCCCTTTTACAGGAACTGTGTTCATCCTGTTCAACAGATTCCATAGCCTTCTTGAATTCTGCTTCTATCTCTGCTTGCTTTTTATCATTTATCATCTGTCTATGGCTATTTAAGGATTTTAATTGCTCTTCACTGAAACAACCCTATAATGACAATGATACCTGGATGAATTACAGTCATAATAGGTCAACATCATGTATCTTCATTAACAAATACTGAAGAAAAGCTTATTCATAAGGCCCACTTCTATAGATATATGGTGGTGCCTCGCAAGACAATGTTAATTCATTCCGCGAAAATCTCTGTTAAGCGAAAACATCGTCTTGTGAAACGTGTTTTCCCATTGAAATGCACTGAAAACCTGATTATCTGTTCCAATGGGAATGGATTGTCATCGTAAAGCGAAACGCGTTTACCAAGCGAATACAGCTAGAAATACAGCAACCATTAAAAGACCCATCTAGCGAAGCAAGACCAAGCTGTCAAAAACATCGTAAAGTGGAAAATAGGGACCTAAAATTTAATCGTCTTGCGAGGCAAGGTCCCTAACATCGTAAAGTGAAAATCGCCCATAGGAAACATCGTTATACAAAGTGCAAGATTGCGCCGAAAACCTCATCATAAAGCGAATTCGTCGTTTGCGAAGCAATTGTCTAGCGAGGCACCACTGTATTTGGTTTTAAAAAGCAGTGGAGTTTTGTTCTACTTATTGGTTTTGTTTTTTATCCAATCTTATCTGTTAATAAACATTCTAAATATAGCATGTGTGTTATAGCAAATCATATATTTAAAAACCATGAAATTTCTGTCGCAGTGACTAAACTACTATAAGTTAGCTTAGAAACAGAAGCAGTAGCCTCAGTAGTTCTTGCTTTTTCTTTTTCTTTTTCTGGGGTAAAGTTGGTAAGCACGCACAGATATCCTGTTTTCAAATACTGGCACACACTCAAAAACATTCCAGATATTTGCCAATGGAGCATGAAGGTCTGAATAGAGCTCTCTAACGACATTCAAGCAAATGTGGATAGAAAACCCTATACAGATGTTTGCATTCAGCACACAAAGATCTGAAGGCTTCCAAGAACAGTGTCAACCCTTATACATTTATGCATAAATTTATACATCAATTCATAAGTACATAATACAAGTTTTGTGTGAGCCTATGGTAAAATGTTGCAATGTTTTGCTAAGGAATTTTATCTTACCTCTACATAAACTGGATCACCAGCATTAAGAATTGCCTCATATAATTCTGCACCATCTTGTAGAGACCGAATCTGCTGTCTGGTTAATGTGCGGGATCGCAATACTCTTTTGCTTTCACCTATTTTTAGGAAAAATTTTTCAATTTATAATCCATTCCAATTTCAAAAGAATATCAAAGACTTTATCAACAAAGAATAAATTTAGGTTTGATTCAAATGCCAATTAAATAATTACCAGCCTCAAAACCCTGGCCAGATATATCTGACTGCAAGATTTGAACAGGACGAAATCTAGCACACCAATGGTACTGTTAAGAGAGTACACAAGTAATCTTTAAAGATTACGATGGGACAAAGAAAAGATAACATCAGGCTTTAAAGTACATTAAACCTAAAGTATTCCAGGCTTTATTATTCAAACTTAGAATCTAAAAAGTTTTTGATGGATAAGAAATTGAAGCAGGAGGCTAGCCATTGTAGCATGTGTGATCACAGCAGTATGAGGACAGGATTCCCACCACCCAGCCACAAAACATCCTAAATACAATTAAACATTTGGCATTCTTGTTTTACCTTCTTTCTTTTCCAATTCAGCCTGTATTTTTGCAAGTAATGCTTCCAGGATTTTTTGCCTATTTTCAGCATGCTTTGTAGCTTCTATTTCTTCAGCTCGACAATTGCGAAACACAAAGGATCCTCCTGATGTTTTTTCCATCCACTGAAACAAATATCCACTGAACATCAAACATGGTTTTATATTAGCTGAAAGTGATGAAAAACTATGGTAATGTCTTAAACTATCTTACCTGTATGGGATAAACCCTTTGAATAATGACATCAATGCAGCCAACAGTCCCACCATCACAGAGGAGCGACGACAAGGCCAAACAAAATGGCCGAGGATCCTTATAGTAACCTAATTTGGCATACCATCGAGCACGGCGAGTACTGTTAGCTGAAATCTAATAAATACAAAATATCTGCAAAAATGCTAGAAAGCATTCAACGGTTCTGTAGATTTTTGCAAATGTAAAGCACATATAGTGGTGCCTCGCACAACGAGTGGCTCACACAACGATAAATTCATCATACTTCTATTACCAAATTCTAATCTTGGTTGAACTGTGCAAGTGAATAAAGGCAAAATTCTCCAAGACAACTACAGACAGCCTATGTCACTCATTTTCAAACTGAATCTGTGAACTCTGATGCTTACTGGAATCCTTAACAAGTTCAGATGAAGGCAATTATAATAATGAATACATGCTAGCAACTTTTTTTTCCAAAAAAGAAAGAGACAAGCTCCCATCAATGGCAAATATAAAAAGAAAGGGATAAGGTATTCTCAAAAGGGATAAGGATTAGGAATCAAGAAAGAATACATATGTTTAATTGTATTTAGGATGTTTCTCCATCGGTTGGTCCAATGGCTTTCAATGGAGAAAACAAAAAATCACCAAAAATTAACGAAGACTCAGAACAACACCAAATTAGGTTTGCATAGGTTTCAGGAGGTGGGCTAACGATTACAAGCATTTAAAACACTTTTCAAACAGTTTAAGGCACTTTTACAGGAGCGAAAAGGGACATCGGAAAGGGCTCTTTGATCTCCGTTTCCCTGCTTTTGAAGCTCTTTCCAATGTCCCTTTTCGCTCCAATGGCTTTGAATGGAGAAAACAAAAAATCAACAAAAATTAACGACGCCTCAGAACAACACCAAATTAAGTTTGCATAGGTTTCGCAAGCTGGACTATCGATGCCAAGCATTTAAAACAGGTTTCAAACAGTTTAAGGCACTTTTACAGGAGCGAAAAGGGACATTGTTGTGCGAAAATTCCCCATAGGAAACATCGTTGTGTCAGGCGGCAATTTTTTCAGGAAAAGCCATCGTTGTGTGAATTTATCATTGTGTGAGGCACTCGTTGTGCGAGGCACCACTGTACTTCTATGACCAAATTCTAATCTTGGTTGAACTGTGCAAGTGAATAAAGGCAAAATTCTCCAAGACAACTACAGACAGCCTATGTCTCTCATTTTCAAACTGAGTCTGTGAACGCTTACTGGAATCCTTAACAAGTTCAGATGAAGGCAATTATAATAATGAATACATGCTGAGCAACTTTTTTTTTCCAAAAAAGAAAGAGACAAGCTCCCATCAATGGCAAATATAAAAAGAAAGGGATAAGGTATTCTCAAAAGGGATAAGGATTAGGAATCAAGAAAGAATACATTACAGTATTCATCTCTCTGTAAAGCAACAAAGAACCAGCAGTTTGATAACAACTTAGCTACTTTGTAATTTTACCTTTAGCATAAGGGATTCTGGTGCTTCTAGTGGAGCGCTTGCATCGTGTGAACCCACCAGTTCTGCTCCATGCAGAACAATCTTCTGGCCCACGGTCAGCCGCCGTCGACGCAACAGTGACTGAAGAGAAGCATCTAAGACAGCTCTTATCCCATACCAGCCATCTGTAACTTCAATCACTGCTGCTTCTTTTTTGCTCTCCTCAGCAGTACTTTTTTTGCCACAGATGTGAGACATGTTTGTACCTAACGATATGATTTTAGAGATGCACAATATGATTCTTTTAGCAGCAACATCATCTCTTTCAGTTATCCTTTTGATTGCTGACCGACGACTTCTGTCCACTTCCACGTCATATCTTTCAAGAGGAAAAAAAAACATTCAACAGCCTCAAATTTAATTTCAGAGAAAAACAATTCCTTTTCAAAATAATGGTTCTCACTGTGAGAGATACAGTCACAGAGGTCCCTTGTTGGTGTGCTGTCACACTCTGACCAGGGACCTGAGAACCTCATGACAATGGCTGACCTAGAATCAGGAGTTGTTGAAAGTTTACTCCCTGACCTCTATGTATAGCCTGGATGGGGATGGGAGGAACAAAAACTGAAACTACAATACTTGTGTCAGCCACAGGTGTGGAGGGAAGATTCCTAGAGGATTGGTGAGAACAAGTAAACCCCTGGAGGATGGGGAATATAAAAAGGATTTGCCGCCAGGGGAGAGGGATGTATGGTAAGAGAGGAACGAGGCAGTGGACAGGCAGATTCTGGAGCAAGAGCAGCTCCTTGCACTGGGGGGGGAGGGAAGAGCTCCCAGGAGAAAAAGGAGAGATTGAAATCCCAGAGTCAGGCAGAAAGGTGGAACTCTCAGCATCAGGGGGATAACACGTGTTTTAGACCAAGAGCAGCAAGACAAATCCTGACTGAAAGCTGTCAGAAGCTTGTCTACCTGTTCATGTCCCTATGAAAATAGAGATGTTCTTAGCTGTAGAAATAGATAAAACTACAGAGTAGGACCCCCAAATCTACAAGGGATTAGTTCTAATCTTACTTGGGGATAACAAAACCCATTAATAACAAGTAATGCTATATATACTGTGTTTCCCTGAAAATAAGAGAGGGTCTTATATTAATTTTTGCTCCAAAACACACAATAGGGCTTATTTTCAGGGGACTTTTTTTCCATGTACAACAATCTACATTTATTCAAATACAGTCACATCATCTTCTGGTTGCTGCACATTGGTGGAGGGCAGGGTTTCACTTAACTGGGGCTTATTTTTGAGATAGGGCTTATATTACGAGCATCCTGAAAAATCACACTAGGGCTTATTTTCAGGCTAGGGCTTATTTTCGGGGAAACAGGGTAGTATAACATGTCTGTAGTCTATTGACCAAAGGCTCTCTCTGTGCCTGTAAGGACATTAACCAAGGATGGCTGGTGACAACAATGCTCTGCAAAGTAGAGGGAGTTGCCTCAAGATGGCAAGAGAATAGGCTAAATGGCTATGACCTACATAGCATAGTCTCTGGTTCCCTTTAGTGGCCAGTCCTGGTAATTGTATTGTGCAAACATGTTCTGTTTTTTAAAATTTATATTTTCAGATTACAGATAAGTGAAACCACGGATACTGAACCCACAGATACGGAGGTGCTTCTGTATTTTTTTTTTAAGCTACAGAAATAATAATGCAGAAGAGGCACATTCAATACCTGTACTTAAGCTGAAGTAGTACTCTTTCTGGTGTCAAACATTTGTTTGCAAATTTGTGTGGAAATGCAACTTCCATAGCTGCCAGTTTCCATATGATCCACCTGTAATGGTTGTATACCCAGGCTTTTGAAATTAGTTTTGGATCTACACCAGGTGTGTCACACAAAGCCCTGTCCAAAAGAATCAGAATATTGAAATGTTAGAAGATTAAACATTATGCTCATAAAACGATTAGCTGACATATGTAGTGAAATTGAAAAGGTCCCATTCCTGTTCAAACCAATCAAGACAGCTGAATCTCTTCATGTATTTCTCTAGTTGATTCCTTTCAAATCTGTTTTTGAAGTTATTTTGTTCAAGGATGGCCACTCTGAAGTCAGAGATGAAGTATGCAGAGACACTAGAGCAGTCCCCCCACTGGGTTTTGAGTATTTCTTAATGATAGATGTGTACCTATCTTCTGTATTTCAAAACAAACAAACAAAAAACCAACTCTCAGTGACCCCTAGCAATTACTGTCTGATCATTATTTTTCTGGGCCTTTTCATTCCCATTACATATTCCCACCTTCCCCAGGGCGGTAAACATGTCAGTCTGCTGATGGGAAGCATCTGAAGAAATGGGTTGCAATCAATAAAAGCTTGTGCCTGTTACAACCAGTTTCAATTTTTAAGGTGCCACAAGAATCTTTTTTGCCACAACAGGGTGACACAGCTAATAGCCTGCAGTTAAAATGGGCTACATTTGCACTACAGATGGGCTACATATGTGTCAACATTTTCACTCGCCATAATTGTTATTATTTATTTATTTATTTGATTTGTATCCTGCCCATCTGGTCTATGCGACCACTCTGAGCAGATTATCAAATCACTACCCAGCAACCAGGCTTATGTCTGCAATGGCCCACCAATTCAACCAACACTAAGCACATTTAAATCTTATTTCGGCATGAAAAGAACATGTTTAAACCTCCCTGTACCCCATTAAAATAAGCTAGAATTGAAACATGAACTCTTTTGCAGGCTGATCTGTTGATTTCTTCCCACAAAGAATCAGCAGGAGAATAGGAAAGGAAAATTCTCAAGCTCAGAATAATCAGAATGAAGCAGAATGGGAAAAAGTATGTTTCAGGGGATAAAATATGCAAAACAGAGAAGATAGCCTAAAATGTGAAGCTTACACAAGGTGATTTGTCCTGACTGATGACACAGAAGGTACTAAGAGTGAGCCAGAAGATGAAGAAACTGAAAGATCCTAGTGGTGCTTCTCAGCATCAAACTGTACAAAAGCCAAAAGTTCTGCATTTCAGCACTGAATGATAGGCCTGTAACATTTAATACCATGTTGATAGTTAAACGTGCAAATCAAACAGGATACCTGTAGAACTCTTCTTTTCCTGCCTTTCCATCATTATTAGGAATGAGGTATCCTCCATCAGCCAATTGTATTCCATGTTCTTCTAGAAAACATTTTCTGCTGAAAAAATCCTGGATGTGAAATTGAAAATCTTCTGCATTGCTGCTGTTAACTTTTACACACTCTCTGGAAACCCCAAATGCATACAGCTGCAAGGGTAAGACAGAAGATTTTACTGTTCTTAAACATGTGCATTACCTACACATTAACACACGCCTCTGAAAAATGAACATTTCTTGACATTAAGACATGTGGCAAATAGGTTCCAAAGATTTGGCTTCTATTTGATACTTTTGAAGATTGTAAATCAGAACTAAGGATTATTTACAGTCCAGCAAGAAAGGTCTAAGTCCACATCGTCATTTCTATTTAATTCAATTCAACTCAGGCTACAGATAAATAGCAATGCACTGAGTAGATTTGCAGGATAAGGGTTTCCTTCAGGGATTTATATCTTTGCTCAGCTAGCTTCTTGCAATCAGACAACAGTACAAAATCATAGAATAATGAGATTGGAAGAGGCTTATAAATCTGTTCAGTCCAACCACCCTGCTCAGTGCAGGGATCCAAGCCAAAATATATCTTACAGATGGCTGTCTAACTTCTCCAGTGTCTAACAGTGTCTAAGACTTAGGAAGTTCTCCTTGACAATCAACAAAATCTGTCTTTCTATAACTTCAGTTCAAGTTTGCTAACAGGTCAATAGCACATTGAGCAGGAAAATAGATTTATGTTATAGACCAGGCTTATCCAATCTGTGGCCCGAGGGCCACATGTGGCCCAGGTCGGCTCATAATGTGGCCCAGGTCAATTTTTTATTTTTTTAAAAATTGCAAAGTTTCAAGTTACACTGTTGGCGCTTGCAGCCAGAATGCGGCTGGGGCACGTCACAACGGGAGGGGGGGGAAGAGGGAAGGAAGGAAGGAGCAGGAGGGGAGCTGCGTGATTGCATTGCGCCATCACCATCAATAGGTGGACCTCCTCCCGGCCCCATAAAGCCACCGGAGTCGAAGCTGGCAGCCTCTGCTGTCTGAGATCGCAGTTGCCAGTAAGCGCGCTTGGAGCAGGGCTGCGGAGGATGGCTGCCCCCCGCATGCGGCCCAAACCAAATTTATATGCAGCCCAAACTAAATTTTCATCATCTAATGTGGCCCAGGGAAGGTGAAAGGTTGGACACCCCTGTTATAGACATACCGATAAACAATGGACTATCATTAAATTTCTATAATGATGAACCATAATTATGCCTGTGTTTCTGTGCTTCTCTTTCTTGAGTAATCAGAAGCTGGCTGCTTTGATTGCTTCCATCACAAAAGAGCTGTGTGTACAGGCAAAAACCTGGTTCATATATTGGGTTTTTAAAAATCAAAACTGAGCCATAAAGTGGTACTACCTGTTCACTAAGGTAAGAAACAGGGAACCTCCCGTCTACTGCAACTTTCAAAGGAATTCTGCTAGAAGTGGCAGAGGCTTTCTCAAGATATAAGCTGCCTGGTTGTGGGGAAATTCTTTGCTTTCGTTTCTTCATTATTCTCATTTCTTGTAGATTTCTGGCATAATGAAGATTTGCAAGTATTTTTGTCAAATCTGTAGAGAAAAATACCAATCAAAATCCTATGAAATGTACTTTAATTTAGAACAAAAATTCCAAGCATATAAAAAATGTTTCTGACTATAAGCTGGGAAACATGTCTGTGGGCCTTCCACAGGGATCGGATTGCCCTCTGTTCGAATAGAATGCTGGACTAACCATGCCTTAGATCTGATCCACAGAGTTCTTCTTTCATTCTTATGGTCAGTATTGTGATTTTACGCATCACCATTGTCTAAATGTTAATGCAAATAGTGATTCATGGTACTTTTATTACAAGTACCCAATAACAATTTACTGAATGGTTATTGCTGACATGCATGCCCTTATTTTGGAATGAGAACCACTAAGATCCGTTTTTTAATTATTTAGTATTAGATACCTGTACTAAGAATTTAGCCCAAGGCCACAATCTTCAAATATTTTAGAAAGTGGGAAACATATCTGTGGGCCTTCCACAGGGATTGGATTGCCCTCTGTTCGAATAGAATGCTGGACTAACCATGCCTTAGATCTGATCCACAGAGTTCTTCTTTCATTCTTATGGTCAGTATTGTGATTTTACGCATCACCATTGTCTAAATGTTAATGCAAATAGTGATTCATGGTACTTTTATTACAAGTACCCAATAACAATTTACTGAATGGTTATTGCTGACATGCATGCCCTTATTTTGGAATGAGAACCACTAAGATCCGTTTTTTAATTATTTAGCATTAGATACCTGTATAGTGGGGTCTCGACTTACGAACTTAATCCGTATTGGAAGGCAGTTCTCAGGTCAAAAAGTTCTTAAGTCGAATCTGCATTTCCCATAGGAATGCATTGAAAACCATTTAATCCGTATCTGCTCTTTTCGTCCATAGAAACTAATGGGAAGCTGCTATTCCGCCTTCTGCCACTAGAGGGGGATATTTTTTCTTTTTTCCTTTTAACCTAAGATGACTTAGCTTTAAAAAAAGGGAAAAAAAGAGTTCGTAGCTTGAATCTAAGTTCGTAAGTCGAGTCCATATATTCCTATGAGAGCGGTTCGTAAGTCGAAACGTTCGTATGTCGAGCCGTTCGTAAGTCGAGACCCCACTGTACTAAGAATTTAGCCCAAGGCCACAATCTTCAAATATTTTAGACAGCCACATACCACATCTATAAACTTGATACACCGTTCCTTAACTGCATTATATCAAAGCTGCTTTTACAACAATAGCATATACGTAGAATGTAACCATTTAAGTAGTCATGAGAAAAAGTTCTTTCAAATTTATGGAACTACAGCCAGGATGGTCCAGTGGCTTGCCTCCCGGCGGCGGTAGCAACAGTGCTGGAAGCCCGGGAGGCTGAGCCTCCCTTTTCCTAACCATTGGGGCGAAAGAGCTACAAAGAAGCAGCCTCTTCCCCACCAACGGTTTGAATTTCCCGCCCTTTTCCCCTGCCTTTTTCATTCGTATCTGGAAGCTCCGGCCGCAAGTAGAAGCAAAATTTTGTGGCTGGAGCTGTGCATTAGTTGGATCATTCATAGGTAGGGACGTTCATAAGTAGAGGTTCCACTGTAGTTTTCCAAATAAGTGATTACGACTACATTTAGAACAGAACAATTTGTGTAGTACCCTAGCAATGAATATGGCATGGTTTTCTGCACCCTCCTTCCAGGTACTGGATTAGTTGTATAGAACTTCAAATGGGTAATATTGCCAGAAATTAACAGGCATATGTTTGTGATGTGTAAAAGGGAAATTACAAGGGAAGTCACTGATGGTCACAATGAACAACTACTTCATTCAACCTCTGCTGACTTCTGTCATGGCATAAACACTGATAACAATAGTATAGAAACACCAATGAAGATAGCAGGTTGTCACAACAGCTCTTTAATCTATGGCAGCAGAAAGGAATCAAACAGGTTAGTTGACTGAGCTGCTTGATCTTAAAAATTTTAGTTTAGAATTGAAGACAAAAGGTGTCTTAGAAATGTCCACAGTTTTAGCCTGCAGATATGTTGAATGGGACTGGCCCTAAATGAAACTATCTTTAAAAAAACTGTCAACAACTTCTCACAAGAAATAAACCCATATTAATATATATGTCCACAAACTATATAAATTTCCATTCAACTACCTGAATCTCTTTCTCTGCATTCCGACTCTCCAGGTGGCTTTTGTGTGGAATTATCTCTTTCTGGATCAATGTTGTTTTCACGAACCTTTGTAGAGCTAAGTTGTTCCATTCTATTAATACTCTTGTTGTATTCACCACTACATATTTTATCCTCAGAACCCCTTGATTTTGTTTTGAAAGGTGGTATAAAGACAGGTTTCTTTGCAATATGATTTTCTGATTTTTTTCCTTCTTCTGTAGTGATCCTACTAAATTGATTTAAAAAATCTGATGATCTAGTTGAAGGTTGCTTTGAAAACTGCTGTTGAAATCCACCAGATTTTAGCCTTTTAAGATCTTGATTTGACGTAGTGAAATTTGGATTCCGCACTTCTTGCCGTTCTTTCATAGAACTAAACAGATACAAATATTTGATAAGGATCTGAATCACTGGCTCTTAAAAAGAGATTTTTATATTGCTTTTGTTGGCTTGGCAGCTACACATTAAGCAATCTTGAGTACATGCAATACTGAACTTCTATTCTATTTTGATGATGTTTTAAAATTTTTTAGATAGATAGATAAAACCTTTATTGGCATAAGTAAAAATTGGATATAGTTACGATGGTTTGTTACGTAAGTACATATATAGGCATCAAGAGGGCAGAAAAGTGTTAGACATCCTTAAAGGGACAACAGTTCATCTCCTAACAATAGTGTCAAAGAAGTCTGTGACTCTACAATGTCAGTCATCTCGGCTGTCAGCATATAGCAAACTTTATCCAGATCTGACCTCCCTTCCAGCTTTAATAAAATTGGGGCTATTAACTTTGATCGGCCGCATAGAGTAGTATTGGGAAGGGACATCCCAATTTGGGAGGGTGGTCATTGAAGCTTGTCAAAAAGGGAGTAAGATTGTTTATAAAAAGGTTAACTTTTATGTTTTAATTATTTAAACAAAACCAGCAGTACTTGGACTAATATTATAATACCTAACACAACTGGCAACACAGAAAAAGTAAAAGAAAACACAGTCTACAGAAAACAGAGATGCTAGTTTCACTAACTCTGTTTTTCCCGTTACTAATTAATTTATATCTAGCTTCATCAGTTGCTTCAGGCAACTTACAGGAAAACAAAGTATGTAATAGCATAAAAGCAAATAAATAAAATGACTGGCAGAGAGAACCACTTTTTCTTAAAATGTTAATGATACAGAGGCTTCAAAGTAAGTATTGAATCCCAGTTTTTATTTTACCACAGCCTTGGGTTAGTTGTGAGACTTAGGTGATTTTCAAAAAAATTACTGCATGGAACAAAGAAATCATGTTCAAGAAGGAAAGCTCCACTGTGAATACATAAAAACTAATGAAATATCTAAACAGAAAATACAGCAAATTCTTACCTAAAAGGACTACAGATTACTGGTTTAAAACAAATATCATAGGTAAATTTTTTCCTGTCATTCATTGTACCTGAAGAAAAACAAGTTGTGCATCAAAGTATATGATAATAAATGAATAATATATATTGCTATATTCATGATAATAAAAATATACCTACAAAAGCATCTGAAAACACAATATACTTTTAACAAACATGGGATCTTGGGAAAACTGCTATTGGAGTCAGTTTAGTACAATTTTCAGTTATTTGTGTTTGTACTAATTAGTGAAAAATGAAATTTACTGAACCTGCAATACAATCCCAGCCCACCTATTCTTGATAACTGGAGGTGGATGAAAAGTATTGGAGATGGACTTCTGTTTTTGCACCCTAAGAAGATTTGCAGTGGATGGATCCTGACTGCAGGTGGAAAGTCATGAAATGGGGCCCCTCTACTCCTCTCCCCAGATGACTTAAGGAAAAGGGGAAGAATATTCCCACCTTCTGTTCTGGCTAGCACAGACTAACAGGGCTTGGAAAGGGGACTGGAAGTAAATCTGTCACCTTGATGTTCCCCATCTCCATTTTGGATTCTCCTGTTAACACCTAAACAGAGATAGAGTGTTTACATCCACATTAGCAATACTAGCATTGGGATAGAATTTTACTCCCAGAATTCAATTGCCTTGTGTTGAAAAAGCAAAATGAAGATAGAACAGCCCCATACTTCTAATAACTATGTAGAAGATGGAATTTCCGCAGATACAGCCTCTCATACCCATGTTGAAAAGCTACCCTTTCCAAATGTTTCTGTTTCGCATTTGCAAACAAGTACAGAAGTCTCCTCTGACATAATTCCAGTATATAACAGTAGAGGGGAAAACTCTACATGCTGATTGCCCATAAGAAGTCAGAGTGCATATATGCAGCAATGATTATGCACATGACAACTAAAAACTCTAATGAGTTTATTAATGAAATAATGCCTGTGAAACACTCTGAAGACCTGAAATGTGGAACATAAACTCCAAAGTTTCATCCTATGTTGTAAAGAATTTTAATTACAAAAGTACAAATATTATACTTTTAATTTAATTAAAACAAATGATGTAATCCCGAAAAATAAAATTACCCTCTGGAACACTTGTTGAGACTTTCAGATATGGTTTTTTGGATCTTTCTGATTCATCAAACTCAGGCAACAATTTTCGTTTAATAGGAGGTTCTCCTAAAAACCAAACAATGAATGTTGAAACTGCATGTTTAACAACCTAAAAATAGTGCTTCGAAACACTTAGAAAAATAATGGTTTTAACAAGCCAAGCTGATTTGGTGCAAAGGCAAATTTAAGATCCTTCTGATCCTACTTTATTTAGGAGGAGTTTTCTCAAGTTACTAATGTTTCTTTCTACCTCAAAATCGCAACATATTGTTACGTACCAATGATCATTCTGAATATTGTAGATGTGGGAATGCTAGCTGGTTACTGTGGAGCAGGCAACATAAAGGTCTACAATAGCATATGTTTAAAAATTGGAATCTATGATTTTAAAGAATACAGTCCTTATGATTATGAATATGTTACTGCAATATAAATCCCCACAGGCTTTTTCAAATTACAGTGGTGCCTCGCTTAACGCAGGCTTTTTCAAATTAGCTGCTATAATTTAATTTCTCAAGAAGCACCTCTAGCTTATTGTAGCATATAAACATTTCTGAAATACACTTCCTTGCCTTTCCTAATCTGCAAGATTGTCCCAAGTAGAGCAGTCACAATTCAAAACTGTTCATTTCATGGATAGGTAAAGGTAAAGCTTCCCCTTGACATTTAGTCCAGTCGTGTCTGACTCTAGGGTACAGTGCTCATCCCCATTTCCAAGCCATAGAGCCAGTGTCTGTCCAAAGACAGTTTCTGTGGTCACATGGTTACCTTCCCACCGTGGTGGTACCTATTTATCTACTCGCATTTTTACATGCTTTCAAACAGCTAAGTTGGCAGGAGCTGCGACAAGCGACGGGAGGTCACTCCATCGCGTGAATTCAATCTTATGACAGCTGGTCTTCTGACCTTGCAGCACAGAGGCTTCTGCGGTTTAACCCACAGTGCCACCACGTCCCTAATTTTAGTGAGCATGTTCATACTAATTCTTCTGCGGGCCTAGGCTCTGATTCTAGTGTTCTGGTTGCATTATGTCTTCTGTAGCTATAGGAAGACTGAATTATCAAAGTATTTATAAAGTAAAATAGTTTCACTAACTCCCGCATTTTTAAAATGATAGGAGAAATGTGGAAGCATTTCACATCAAAACTTAAAGAAAGATGCACAAATGCTGCAAATCCCAATGATGGACTAGGTTTTACTTCCATTTCTCCTATGTCCCTCATAGAACTTAGGCTAGGCTTGAGAACCCTTTGCAGGGAAAAATCTGTGGATAGAAGAGGCCACCTATCCTTTTCTGAGATAAGTATCTCATTGCCTTTGGAGTACAAGAGCTTTGTAGTAAACTAAACTGATGTCAATCACAATGCTACTAAGTAAATAGGTAGAACCAAGGCTTTAAATGAACAAACAAACAAGCAACCACATACCAAACATGTTTTCTTTTTCCATGCACCTTTTTCCAGGTCTTGTATATGGCAGAAAATTATTAATTTTCTCAGAATTCAAAACAAATTTATTTTTATTTTTCTGAACTTCTGCATCAGTAAGATCTTCATCTTCCATGAATGCTTTAGCACTTTCAGAAGCTTCTGCTTCCAAGTAATTCTCTGGAGTCTGGAAGTGAACAGGACTACGAAAATCTAGTCCTCTTTCTGTTACAATATCACATTTTGCTAGATAGCTTTTTTGTGTTCTTCTTAGGCATGTTTGGGCTGTCTTCAAAGGCTTGATCTCTTTCAAACATACAGAACTTTCTCCCAATCCTGTTTGTTGCTTATATTCTTCATTATGTGAATTGTACATTAACAGGTTTTTACAGATCGTTTTATTAGGATTCTTTATGGTCAAATTGAGACCATTATCTTTATCCTGTGGCTTAGATTTTGAATATAGCTGGTCTTCCAATTTAGGATCCTCAGCAGGAGCTTTTATAGTTGAAAGATGACCTTGCCCCAAGCTCTGTTGATCAGCAAAGACACCATTATCGGCAATGTCATCAGTGAATTCTTTTAAGAGTCCCTTAACATTCTGGATAGCTTTCTGAGAAATATAGACTTGTTTTCCATTTGCTGTGCTGAAGCCGCAAGGAATATTTGAATTTACTTTGATATTTTGAACACTTTTTCCTTGAGTCATGAGTGGTTTGTTATCCCTAAGAGTTGCTTTATTCTTTGCAGAAGATACTTCATCATAACTGTAATTACCATCAGATACATGACTCTGATGAAGTGGTGAATCATTTTCCATTTCAGAAAAAAGTATTCTGGCTTTTCTTAATGACTCCTCTGATAACTTGACAGGTTTTCCACTTGCTGTGCTAAAAAACATATTATTATCTGTGGAAATGTTTGCCTTTGTACAGGTCAGCTTCATAGAGGGAGAAGTATCAAAACATTTGTCACTCTTTTGAAGATTTGGGGTCTGACAACTTGATTTAAGCATAGTATCCATTAAGATGGAAGCAGTGGATGGCAATGCTTGATCATTTTCACAATAGTCTTTGGCTCTAGGACCATTAGGTTCTACTGATTTTTCCACTGAAATTTTTTCTAGACTTAAATAATCTGAACTAACATGCTTTCTACTGTCAGAAGAATCAGAACAACTTTCTAAGATATTATGTTTCTTTGTTTCTGACTGAGATGTCATGTTCTGTTCCGCAGATTTATAACAGTCTTCATGAAGCAACTGTCTGGCCTTGTTCAGAGCTTCTCGGGAAATTTCAATAGTTTTACCACTTGCTGTACTGAATGTACCTGGTCTAGCTTTCAATAGTCTAGAAGATGAGGCTGTTGTTTCAGGAGCAGCATATTTTTGTATGATGTTGGTATCCTGCAATTTTAAGGTACATTTCCTTGTTGTTGAGTTTTCAATTCGATCAGTTTCTCCAAAAAGACTGAAATCATTTTCTGCATTAAAGCTTTTTGAAGTTGCTTCTTCAGAAATACAAGTCAAATTCTCTGGGAGGGAATCTGTCTCACTGCATGTGTGATGAGAATGGTTCAATGTAGAATGCTTATTATTTAAATCCAGGTAACTAGCTTCTAAAGAAGTACCAACAGGTAAATCCAAAGAATCAAGACTCTCTTTAATGTTGGAAATGAATACATTATTTGTATATCTCGATGATGGGTGGTCAAGATCTTGCTTTGCAGCAATATCCAAGCCTTCTGCAACAGACAAATGCTGAACACCAGAATCAATAAATACAGATTGCGAAATACAATTTTTCCTTGATAAATGTGGCAGATAGTCCTTTCCCAATAATCCTTCATTTGCAGTATACCTTTTCTCCCGTTGGGTATGAAATACCAAATCTGCCTCAGATACAGTCAAACCCAAACAATGTTCTTTTGGAATTTCAAGCGTCTCTGTCTGTGTAACTGTGGTTGGCAACAGATTCAAAGGCTTTTCAAAATTCCTATCAGAATGTAGAACTTCTCTTTGTTGTTCAGCTCCTTTTCTAAACTCTTTCCTCAACTTGTCTATTTTCTCATGTCTTTTCTCTTTTGTTGGAGTCTCAAGACTAGGTACGGTAAGGCTACCAACAGTATCCTGCCTCTGAAGGAAAAGAGTTTCTTCTGAAAGAAGGTGCCTTGCTTTAGCTAAAGATTCACCAGTAATTATAACAGGCTTACCACTAGCTGTCTGAAAACCCTTTGCGCTAATTTGCATTTCTTTTCTGGTTTCAGAGGCTTCTTTATAGTTTGTGCCACAAAAGGAGTCATTTTGATTTAACACAGTCCTCTTTGTCACAGAAGTGATTGCTCCTTTCGGACTTTCAGCACCTGTTATTCCATTACAAGAAAATGTGTCACCTAGTTCTTCTTCTGCATGGAAGCCAGCCAATGAATGATACATTTTATTCCTTTCTGCAACTGTTTCCCTATCAGCAACAAAATGAACATTCTGTAATAAATAACCACTTTCTGGATTATTTATTCCTTCTTCTTCTTGATTACAGTTAAGGTTTACTTTTTCATCTGCATGATGCACAATGGACTCTTTTTCAGTTTTAGCAACTTCAGTTAAACATGTCAAGTCAGACAAAGTTTCCTGCAAATTGTAATTACATTGAGTTTCTCCACAATTTACAAAATGAGCATTTAGCAGGTTGTACTTCTTTTCAGTAGATGACAGATCACTTCCTGTAACATGAACAGAGTATTTTTTAACAATTTTTAGGTTAAGTTCTGTAGTATGAGTAATCTGGATGATATTGCTTTTATTACAGTTTAGATATTTTGACTTATCTATAGTTTCTTGCATAGAGACGACTGTATCTTCTGAATTATTTTTAGTCGTACAATCAGGATTTGCTTTATCTCTCTGATGCACCACAATGTCTCCTTTTTTCACATAGTTACACCAACTATTATATCTGTTTGAACAATCAGTCTGAAAATTTGTTTTCTGAGAAGGCTCAAGCATTTCATCTACTTCTTTCACATCACTGCCTGATTTTGCAGCTCTGTTTATCTCTTTGCCTCCAGGTGAACCGAAGCTCCAAATATCACACTGCAAAGGTGCTGAAATGATCGGAACTAAATGTCTGTTTTGTTTACCGCTTGAATTTGTCGATATAATCTCTTCTCCATTTTGTATATGCACATTGGATTCCTTAGCTATGCTGATATGTATATTAGGAGATACATGATTGCTTCTTTGAGTTTTTTCTTCAGTGCTTTCCTCAAAATCAATATCTGTCCAAACTTCAGAATTCACACCATTTTTATCAAAAGTTCCACTCAGCTCACAAGCATTACCACATATGAGAGTCTTGTGTTTTCTAAACTGTGTAAAATCAAACTGACTTCCACTTTCTTCCAGTATGTTAGAGAGTTCAGCAACTTCAGCTTCTTGACTTGCTGTTAAATGTGGTCTCCCACCAAACTGCTGATTTTTAAGCATAATCTGAGAAGAAATGTTGTCACGTTCAGGAGGAATGTTTTGGGTATCATTGAACTGAGCACAATTCACCAATGAATCAGAAACAAGTGACAAATTAGATGGGTTCTCATTAATTTCATTTCTCCCAAGTGAAAAAACCTCAGGATGTGTCTCTGTATTTTGATTTGAAATATTCTGTGTTTCATCACTAGGAAAATCCTCGACAAACAGATCTTCTATGTCTTTGAACAGCAATTTCCCTTTCTTAATGATGTTATCAGATAGTTCTATTTGTTTATAAGATGCTGTTTTGAAACAACTGAAGTTTTGTGTTTTGCTGTGATTTATACATTCTAACAAGCTCTGCCTGCTAGCACTGGCATTTTCTTTTGAGTCTAAGAGAAGAAGTTGCCTAGTCTTTAAGTTTTTTGATGGTATTATAAGTTCAGAAGATTCATCTGTAGTAGGTTTGAGCACTTTCTTTGACTGATGTCCAAGTTCAGGCATTTGAGTGCAGACTGAGAAAGAATGTTGTGTAATTAATTCCAGGTCTGCTTGTTTATTTCCTTTTTTTGATGCTTGTATTGATGATGCAGATTCCTCAAGATCTGCTTCTGGCAATGTACTAAAATTTGTGAGACTGAAATAATTTCCACTGTTCTCACTATCTGAAGCCTCCTTTGGATTAATCACACAGAACTTGTTTTCACTTTTCTCTATTGGATGATTAGCGGCCATATGACTGGGACCAGTGTTTTCTTTTTTGTTGTCTTTCAGGAAAGAAACTGAGGTAAAATCACTTTCTGTGCTAATACTTTTGTTGCATGGAGTTTCATAAAAACCATTAGTAAGAATATAATTTTTGTTGTCCTCTAATTCTGATTTCTCTTCAATAGAATGCTTAATATCTGAATTTTTTTCAATTTGCCCTGTAAGGAATTGACACACATTATACAATTATTAAACACATCCTCTCACTCTGGCTTCTTCTGGTATTACTTTTTTATCCACAAAACATTTCCCCCCAGAATATCTTCTGATTGGGAGCAATAGTGTAGTTAATGCCCTGTTTCCCTGAAAATAAGACCTAACCTGAAAATAAGCCCTAGTATGATTTTTCAGGAAGCTTGTAATATAAGCCCTACCCCAAAAATAAGCCCCAATTAAGTGAAACCCCACCCTCCACCATTGTGCAGCAACCAGAAGAAAATGACATGATTGTAAAATAAAACATCCCCTGAAAATAAGCCCTAATGCATTTTTTGGAGCAAAAATTAATATAACACCGTGTCTTATTTTCACGGAAACATGGTACTTAATGGCTGAAATTCAATAGTAAATAGAAATTCCAATTCCAGTAGGACCATTGAACCAGTGAAGACTTGGTAAGTCAATTCTTTAAATTCTATTGGTTCAACTGGCCTAATTCTACTTGTGAGCTACTACTGGATTTCAGCCTGTTTTTTGCCAGAAATACTTCATCTACTTGCTTCTTCTCTCCTGAAGCCTCTATAATACATAACATCCCTTTCTTACCCTAGTCAATTTCTTCCTACGCTGCCTGTCTTCTGTTGTCCATACTGTCTTCATTCAGAATACACTCTTCTCTAATTTATGTCCTTTTCAATCAATATCTGTAACACTTCCCTAAGATTCTTATATACATGTCATGAAAAATAACTACCATCAGCAATATCTAATTCACATAAATATATATAAATATAATTAATTTGCATGGGCCTTTTGAATACAGTGCAATTAAGTGCCTTATACAGCAAAGGCATGCCAACTACATGCTAGTGTTTGGGTTCTGATACCTAATACACAAAGAAATATAAACAACATACCATCATTCTTGATGAGTGATTCAGAAACTTCAGAGAGACAAGATTTTAAATCTGGGCAGACTGGAAGACAAGCTGAAGATCCATCTCTATGCATTATTCCTTCTTTCTGATAAGCAGTATTATTTATGGTGTAAATAAACTTTTTAGGACGTCTTTTCAAACTGGAAATTTTACTCATGGCATTCAAGCCTGACTTTGTGAGTCCTCTGCCATCTCTAGCAGTTGCAGATGAAATATTAACCTGAAGAGGGCCACATGGCATTTTACAATTTTCTCCTAAGTAATCACTACAGCAACTGCTATTGACTTCTGAAAGATCTGCTGAAGTTGTGTTTTCTACTGAGAAAGAATCATCCTCTGAAACACTTACAAAAGAAGCTTCCTCAGGCTTACAGACTTCCACCAGTGGTGGGCATTTCTTGCTCAAAATAGCTACAGCTGATGGAGAGGTTTCAGGAGGTGGCACTTTTTCTGGAAAGCTGATGTTCAGTAACTTCTGACCTTCTATATGAGTTGATGTGTTTAGCGTAAATGACTCCAGTGTTTTGGTACCAATATATTTTTTCAAAACAGATGGTTCATTACTGTCAAATGAGGAACCAGTACACAATGAGGCCTCTTTTTCAAGCTGTGTTATTTGAAGATCAGACAAGTCCAACTGAGACCATGAACTCGGCAAAGATGATATTTCCTCCTCTCTCACTATACTCTTCTGATTTTCAGAATGCTTTTGTGGTCTGTTAATTGGAGTCATCATTTTTTGAAAATCACATTTGGAAGAAATTAACTCTTTTTCATATTTTGCTATACTTCTGTCTTTAGAATCTGTAATTGCTTCATTGTTTTCCTGAGATTCATCACATTTTGTTTTATCAAAACTCATGTTCTTACTCTGTTGGGCTGTTTTTACTTTTCTTAGCAAAATTTTGCTGCTGCAGAGACATGCAGAAGTATCACTTTTTATCCTGTCATACATATCTCCATCCTTTGGATTATCTGGTGCCATTTTGCAACCATCTAACTTACTGAGAGGCATGTTCTTACCAGAAGATCCATTTAATAATACTTTAAAATCTGTAAAGAATTATAACAGTTTAAGTATAAAAAGCAATGCTCTATTAAGAAATTAAATTCAACATTTCATTTGTCCTTTGGATTCTGTGTACCAAATACAGCATTTCTAAATAAGGTTGGCATTTGACTAATCTAAAACATGTATGTATACAATCAAAGGACTGTGAAAGTATCCCAGAGGGTTCAGTAGTTCCCATGGTGCATGCCAAACTGCACTAAAACAGCAGTTCATAGTACAACACATATGGAGGCATGTTAACTGTTTGAAAACAAATAAATTGAAAATAACATAAAATGTCATTGGACTAATGCAAATCTAAAGTGTGGACCTTGGCAGCTTTTTGAGTTCTGGCCTTTATTAGTTTACTGACCACATATTTTCAAATAATAATCAAATACATAGACTTCTCCCTTGAATTGCATGGATTTGAACTGCATGGTTTGAGCTATACATGGATTCTTTTCAATACATAAATACTGTAAATACTGAATAAATAAATAGCTAATAAATACTGTGCTCCTGGCCACCTAGAACCTGAGTTCACCACTGAAGGTGTGGTCTACTTGCTCCAAATACAAAACCTCTAATTGGGAACATAAGAGTTATACAGATTTTTATCAACACAGGCGTCTGATGCCCCAGCATCAGTGAAGGGAGAAGTGCAAACTCATATGAGAACCATGATAGTGTAGATACAGTAGGTTCATATAGTTAGCCATTCTCCAGAAAAGAAACATGATTTATTTATCAAATAATCAAATACAAAGAGCAAATACAGTGGTGCCCCACTTGATGATTATCCAACTCCACGACGAATCCGCTTTACAATGAGGTTATTGCGATCGCAAAACAATGTTTAAATGGGGAAAAATCGCTTTATGACGATCGGTTCCCTGCTTCCTGAACCGATTCTTCGCTAAATGACGATTTTAAAACAGCTGATCGGCGGCTCTCAAAAGCATCGCTGTACAAAATGGCTCCCCATTGTGTTTAGGACAGATTCCTCGCTTAACAGGCACCGGAAAATGGCCGCTGTATGGAGGATCTTCGCTGCACTATGAGGTATTTCGCCCACTGGAACGCATTGAACTGGTTTTCAATGCATTTCAATGGGTTTTATCGACGTCAAGTGAGGCACCACTGTAAGTAGCTAATAGTCGAAATCATGTCAGGTGGAGTCCACCTGCACAATAGGATTAATGTCAGGGGCAGACTGAATGCTTCCCTTTGTGATTTTGGAAGGCATGCTACTTTGGCACACTGCGTGTGAGCTGTTCACAGTCAAATTGCAATTGCAAACGGAAAGCTGCAATAAGCTGCAGTTTACCACAGTCAATGCTCATTCCCTCTGTGCAGGCATAATTGTGCAACAGGATTTCAGCCAATAGGTAGTAAAAATAATAACTAGTAAAGAAATAATACTTACTATGAGTTTTACAGTCAGATTCTGCACAGAAACTTTCAAGTCTTGATGCAGATTCCCTATTCATACTATTTTTCTTGAGACTTCTACCATACTTAGAGAAAAGGCTACACATGATCTGTAAATCATAAAGGAGAGAAGTATTAGTTGAAGGCAGCAATCCAATTGCAAAAACTGATGGAATACAGCATTTTTATTTACTTAAAGCAACTCACCAGTTCAATCCTTTCATTATGCTGCTTTGTTCCAGAAAGTGAATTATTCCCTCTCTCTGAAATTTCAAATGATCAGGAACCAAATTTGCAGTGATTATGCAATTCACATTAAAGCTTAATTATACATCTTAATCGAAACATTTAGTCCTCTGTCAAGCCATTTAATATGAAGAGATATTTAAAATATATTTATAACAGTTTTTATCCAGAAATGTTATTGTGCTACAAAGTCTGCATCTTCTCAATGAGTACAAAATGATGTTCAGTACATTTTATTGTACAAGAGGTGTAATCCACTGCAATTACATTTTAGCCCTACTAGCTTTTTAAGATTTAAGCTTCAGAGGGTAACCCAGATTTACTTACACTTAGAGAAGCTGCATTGAAATCAACAAGACTAGATCAACAAGAATTAGTCATGACTCAACATACAACAGATGTCTACAGAGATTTCTTAACTTGACACTATTTTACTCCTTTTACCAACACAATTTCAGCCATACAATATTTTACAAAACCATAAAAACATTTTTTTTAAATTTGGAGACACACAGATCAAAACTTTTAAAGAAAAATTCAACATCCCTTGCAGCACAATCAGCAGCCAAAAGGTTGACTGAAGAGAAAGACCTAATGTACAATATAAACCGGAATTGCATAAAGAGAGCAAAAACAGCTTTATTAGGACTAAAAATAACCAACTACTATCTAAAGTAAAAACTAATATTAATTTTTAAAATATACCAACTGAAATCCAGTAAGAAATGGCAACTAGAAAAAGCTCACTGAATTAGTGGAGCTTACAGAGTTGACACAACAAATATCCCAATTGAACTGGCTTAATCTGTCTACTAATTACTACTGGATGTCAGCCATTAAAATATAAATATAAAAAAGAATGGAAGACAAGCTGTTTTAAAGAACTTAGGAGAATAATGAAGACTGTCTATTACTGAAAAGACATAAGATATTGAGCAAATCTCTCTGGGTAGAGCATTTCACTAGAGGAGAAAATAACACTACTGAACCCACCCACCCTTCTTGCCATTCTCTGTGTGTCAAGACTCAGCATAAAAGAATAATTGTTGTCATTACCTATTATGACTGTTGGAGAAAGTGTAGGGGGTGTTGCTAGTGAACTCGACCAAGACATGTCAGGATCTGCTTCTGCTCCCAAACTCTCAGAAATGCATTTTGGTGTTTGAAACTAAAATACATCAAACAATGCCTTCATGTTGTTTTAAAGCTAAGGTAGTGCTATTCTCATATCTATAAATATATTAGGAAAAAAGCAATTACCTCAAAAAGATTTGGTGTACCCAACAAGCTTCGTCCTAGCACTAAAAAACAGCAAGTGAGATATTAAATTATTTTAAGATTGAACATAGGCTATTAAAATATATAAATGTCAGATGTCCTACACATCAGCTTTTCCTTAGCTCTGACATGCAGCCTGCTGACATGTAGATTCCATGGAACCAAAGAAGACTGTCCCATAGCAGGCATTATTCTTCTCTTTGCTTTTGCTTGATATCCTTTAATAAATGCAACAACCCTCTTATGGGCAGAAAAATGTGCTACATGAAACTCAGGCTAAAATAATTGTGTCTCTTTATTTGAAGAATATAGACTTTATTTACAGAAGAAGTAAATCAAAAAAGTATCAGTAGTAGTAACTATATCTTAAGAATATTATTCTTCAAAAATCAAAAGCCAGATTTAAAAATCTAAAGAGACACTGTTTAATGTTGAAAACACTGAGAATAATAGAATAATTAACTTAATACAGTAAAATGTCAACTAGAAACAGTATTTAGTCTTTTCTCGATCCCCATCCAATTTAGCTACATTCTTACTATTTCTTGCATAAATAAACAATATGCAGTATTAATAAAACTGATCATAGCATAAAATATATCTATATTGGATATTCTACAAGTATTTATCAGTTATTGACAAAATATCCTTGGAAGCATAAATCCTAACATATATACCCTGCCATTGTCCAACCAAGCATGTCCAGCCAGTTAACAAAAATATCCTTATCCTGTCTGGAAGCAACCTGTTTACGTTATATCTGTTTCTTGTTTTCATGTTCTGCTGATTTACACTTAAGTAAACATTAACATCACTATTTAAGACTAAATAATGTGCCTTATCACCAGTTTATTTCAAGAAACAATATGAACATTTACAGAAGCCAGTGCTGGGCAATTATGAAAACTTAAACAATATGAAAAAAAAGTTTAAAGTTTTTTGCTGGCCTCTGGTTGAACAAAAGAGTAATTGTATAATCAGCTATAGTGGTACCTCAACTTACAAACTTAATCCGTATTGGAACGGCGTTCGTAAGTCGAAAAGTTCGTAAGTCGAGGCAAACTTTTCCATAGGAGTGCACTGAAAACCATTTAATCTGTTCAGGAACTAATGCAAAACCGGTTAATCCGTACTCTACCACTAGGGGCGAATTTTTTAAAAAATTTCTCCTTTTGACCTAAGATAAACTTGGTAAAAAAGGGGCAGGAAAAGTTTTTTTCTTTTCATTCATTAGTTGAGGCTCCATTTGCAAGTCGAAGCAACTTTTTGCGAACATAGCCATTCGTAACTCGAATCATTCTCAAGTGGAGACGTTCGTAAGTCGAGGTACCACTGTATTTCTATTTTTATTTTCAGTGACAAAAATCCTGTTATTTAACATAGTAAATCACACTAGAGTAGTTCCACTGAATCAATGACGTTTTGGTCAGATAACTCCTCCATAAGTTCCGCTGGTTCAAACCTATCCATTTGTAGCATAGTAAGTTGCAGTTAAGAGTTGGCCCATTTGAATCAATTAAACTTAATGGAGTGGTTTACTCACTGAATCTCCATTCATCCAATGGATGAATGGAGATTCAGTACAATTTACTACACTAAGCCAGTGTATTTCAAAACCAACCATTGCCTGCCCATTTTGACACAGAAAACACATTTTTCAAAGCAGTGAATGAAACTACTTCAGTATATCAGGAAATAAATAAATAAATAAACAAACAAATAAAAGGGAAAAAAACATTGTGGCACCTTAAAGACTACTTTTATAGTAGTTAGTTAGTCTTTAAGATGCCACAATGTTTTTGTCTTTTTTAAAAATTTTCTTTTGTATTTGCCTGGTATGCTAGCACCCTCTTCTAAAACTAGCTGCTACTTCTAAATCTACTATCAATCTAGTAAATGAAGTAAGAATATGTACCAGATTTGGCACCCTGTGGTGTTCCACACGTTTCTCTTACAAAGGCAGGACTGAAATAAGAAACCAAAGCAATAATAATTGACAAGTTTAAATGAAAAACATATTTAACAAATATCAAGCAAACATTATCGTCTTTAAAAATATATTCTTGAAACATTTAGACATATGATCAAAACCATATAAAACTTAACAAAACCCAGGGAATCATCTGAGAACACCTGATATTGTAGGACTGATTAACATCTGTGTGGATCTGAATGTTGACTTTGGTGGGAATAGACCAGATGCTCAGCAAGAGCCAGTTTATCATGTAGAATTATTACAGAACAGACAATCAATTACATGCCAGTCGTTTTGTTTTCAGAATTTACTTACCTCCATCGATAACCTTTATATTTCTTAAAAATTATAGTAATAAATAGTAAAGAAATCTACAATTTTGCTAGCTGGATTTTTTAAAGTTAAAATGCTCAAAAAGAGAAAGTTTGTGTATTTTCTCACCTAGTGTAGAAGCCAGACTTTTAAAAAATTAAAAACCAACACTTGTGAGCGTATTTAAGTGCAATGTTTCCATACAGGCACTGAATTCTACATCATGTGTATGACAACTTCCAATAGCATAATGCCACAATGTTGATTTTCATGTTAATTAGCAAGTACAAATGGTACTGTCGCATCCATTTTGTCTTTTGGCTCTGCATTTTGCCCAAGAATAAGGTCCTGCCTTAGCAGTTGTTTTGGAGTTGGTTGTTTGCACTGTTGCAGCTAATGTAGACTTAAAATCCTGGCAAGAGAATCTTTAAAAATGCAGTTATTATGTACCTTGCAAGGAGACAGGAACTAGAAGGATCTGCTGTATCACTTGATTGATCCACTTGTACCCTCATCCTCCAAGTTTCATTAAAATTTCCATCTACAAGAAAACAAATGAACAAAAAAGTAAGCTTCAAATGTTACTTTTTAAAAAAGCAACATATCACATTCTTCATACTGCCTTGCTGAGTAGGTCATTTTGTTTTTCAGTGACCAGAGAGTAAACAAGCACATTGAACATTACAAGTGCCATTACTATAGTCCTGAGGAGGTATATTGATAGCCAGCCCCCATACGTTCCTAAATCATTTCTGATATATTTGTTTCTGATGGTTTCTTTCCAAACTACATGGGATTTCACAAAACTACAATATGCTTGATTAAGTCTCCTGGAAATGCTAATGGCATTATTTCCCCTAGACAGCTCATAGCAACAGTGAAATAGTACTGTCCTGTGTATAGCTTCCTTGGAGCCACCCTCTCAACTCCCTGCCATTCCTATACCATTTTTCTTCTGAGCATGAAAAAAAACAAAACCAAGAAAAAAGTTATATGTACAGTGTGTGTGTCACAAGGATTCCTTGGGGCAGCAAGTTCTGAGAGAGGCTACTCTTGGAGCCAACCCTCTCACCTCCCTGCCATTCCTATACCATTTTTCTTCTGAGTATGAAAAAAAACCAAGAAAAAAGTTATATGTACAGTGTGTGTGTCACAAGGATTCCTTGGGACAGCAAGTTCTGAGAGAGGCTACTGCCACAAATTCTATATACAGTGGTGCCTCGACTTATGACCATAATCCATTCCAGAAGATTGATATAAGTCAAAACAGTCGTAGGTCGAAGCACCATTTCCCATAGGAATGCACTGAAATGCAATTAATCTGTTTCGGCCAAAGAAAAAAACCACACACACACACATTGCAAGACTCATTGGATTAATCCCTTCCAGCCGGGGGGGAGGGGGAGAAAAGCAATCAAGCGTGCAAGACCCATTGGAAATGCACAGAAAACAAATGCAGCAGATTGAAAATGCACAGAGAACAAAGGGGCCAGGTCGGAAATGCAAAGAAAACAAAGGAAAAAGCAAGGGAAGCATGCAGGACCCATCAAAAATGGGAACCCCCCCCAAAACAACCAAATTCCCCAAGACCCATCAGAAATGGGGGAAAGGCCAAAAAACAAACTCCCCAGGAACCATCGGAAATGGGGAACCCCCCAAAACCCATCAGAAATGGGGGAAGCCAAATAACAAACCCCCAAGACCCATTGGAAATGGGGGTAAAAACCAAAAAACAACCAAAACCCCCAAGACCTATCAGAAATGGGGGGAAAACACTCCAAAAAGCAACAAAAAACCCCAAGACCCATCAGAAATGGGGAAAAACAACAACCAACCAACCCCCCCACGACCCATCACAGTACAGAAACATAACCCCCCAGCCCAAAACCATGCTGCAAAAACACCCAGAACAGTTTTTAAAAAGCAGAAAACAGCACCTTACCTTACCAAGCAGCTCGAAGCCTCCCTGCAAACACACACACATGCTCTCACTCAGAAGCAGAAGCGAGGCAGTCCCAAGCCTCCTACGATGACACACATCGTAGTGGCACACTCTCTAACTGCTGGGGCGAAAGAGCTACAAGGAAGCAGCCTCAACACCACCTACAGTTAGCAATTTAAATTTTCCACCTTTTTTCCCTGCCTTTTTCTGTTCGTAACTGGAAGCTACAGTCACAAGTAGAAGCAAAATTTTGCAGCCAGAGCTGGACGTAACTCGAAATGATTGTAAGTAGGGACATTCATAAGTCAAGGCACCACTGTATCGTAAGTCGAGGCGCCTCTTGTTGGAAATCTGGAAGTACTAATGACATTTCCCTTAATAGCAACAGAACAGTCTCATACTGTTATATTGTTTGTCTGTTGCAGTTCCAGGCTGTAGTATACGACATGTGGCCCACAGACAGCATGTGCCTGCCCCTCCCCCGAGTCCTCTTATGTCCTCTGGGAGCAATTTTGCCAAGTATAATTGGCCTCTAGCATCCTGAACCCCATTTTTTCAATTTAAAAAAATCACTAGAGGGGTGCAAGATGACTTTTTAATTAAATTGTCTTATTGGAAATAAAAAATGGGCTGAAATAAAAAATGGGCCCACTGACATACAGGTGCAGCCTTAGACCTCAGAAAACTGTTAACGTGTTTGAAGCATTCTAGTGGAAATAACATCATCAGCGTTTCTGGGAGACCTACTAGACAATGTTACATACTTGCAAAGAACATGTGCAGGACATATGGCTGAGACTTTATGTTTAGGAAGAAGAAAAAGAGATTCAGAAAGATCAAATCAGTGTGAGGAGCAGCAACATGCAATGAGTCAGAGGACAACCTTGCTCTTATTGCAGCCGGAAGAATCTAGGCGACTAAAGAATCTAGGGAAGAATCTAGGCGACACACTGGCAGGAAGAAAAACTGCTATTGTCCCCATAAGTACCATATGGTGGGTAACATACCGTATGGTAAATTGCAACTAGACTAGGCCCATTGAATCAGTGGGATTTAGTGATTCAACTCCTCCGTAAGTTCAAATGATTCAGTGTGCCTGCCACACTGTGATTGCTATGCTAAGCAACAGGATTTCATCCATTATTTTCAGGCCCTGAAAGAAACCCTGAAAGCCAAAGAAACATTTTTATGTAGTCTGCTGCAGTAGCCTCAAACCTTCAGGTACACGGGATCTAGCTTTCTAACTTAAATGCTATTTAGAAGTACAGAACACCTGATGTGTAGCAATATGTTGCAGTATGAAGGTTGGATGCCTAGAACACAAACTATGGAATACATTTGTTAAAGATTCCACTCGCAGTGTCAAATTATACTACTTGTGCATTAAAGAAGATCTGTTCATATTACTGCTGTAGCTGTCTTGAATGGCAATGGAATGTAAAAAAGCTGTATCAGTTGCCCTGATGAACGAAATATTTTCACAAACACATTGTTGAATAACACAGCACTTTGAGAATAATAATAATAATAATAATAACAACAACAACAACAACAACAACAACAACAACAAATGCAGAGCTAGAGGGACCCTATGGATCATCAAGTCCCTATTAAGGAGACACTGTGGAAACTGGATTTCCATATCTAAGCCACTGAGCTATCCAGCAGTTCACCCTCTTTTAGTTTTTCTTAAAATTGTATTATGGCCACAGATTCACAAGTTTCTAA